TGAGATTTGGGTGTTGTAGACTGGCTGGTCTTTCTTGCTGTTGACATGACCTTAAGTTATGTCTACTTTTCCGCCTTCCAGCAGAGTGGACTTCAAGGTTTTTGTTGTTTTGTTTTGTGACCACACCAGTGATGCTCAGGACCCGCACTCAGAAACCACTCCTGGTGATGGAGAGGGGACCATGGGATGGTGAAGATCGAACCCCACTGCATGCAAAGCAAGCATTCTAACTACTGTCCTGTCAATAGCCCCCAAACGCCATTTTAAAAGGACAACTGCACTCCTATGTTCATTGCAGCACTATTCATAGGAGCCCAAAATTTGGAGAAAATCTAAGTGTCCAAGAACAGATGACCGGGTCCAGTAACTGAAAATATATAATGGAATCCAGCTGTAAGAAAAAAAAGAAATCTTGAGGTTTGTTGCTACGTGGATGGATCTGCAGAGTGTCACGCTGAGTGAAGTCATTCAGGAGAGGGGCTGGAGGGATAGTACAGCGGGTCAGGAAGGCACTTGCCTGCATGCAGCCAGTCTGGGTTTGATCCCTGGTATAACACATAATCCCCTAAGCACTGCCAGGTGTATTGCCACTAACCCCCCCCCTGAAAATAGAGAGGGAAGGACAGATACAGAATGATATTTCGTATATGGGATATAAAGCACAATAGGGGAATAATAAATGACAAAAGAACAGTTCTACAAAACTGAATTTACTAAAGGCAGGGGTATTGGACGGGGGTTGTGGGGGTTGAGACACTAGCAGAAGAGGTGGGTATTAGAATGTGGTTTGTATAAAACCCTATCTATAACAGTATTGGAAATCATAGTTAAAAATAAAAAACCTGGAACCAGAACGATAGTAAAGCAGGTAGGGAGTTTGCCTTGCACACTGCCAACCTGGGTTTGATCCCCCAGCATCCCATATGGTCCCCTGAACACCACCAGGAGTGATTCCTGAATGTAGAGCTAGGAGTAACCCCTGAGCATCACCAGGTGTGACACAAAGAGCCAAAACAAATAATATAAAAACACTAAGGGAGCTGAAGAAATAGGACAGCAGGAAGGATGCTTGCCTTGCAGAGTTGACCTGGGTTTGGCACCTGAACCCAGATGGTCTCCTGAGCACCACCAGGAGTGATTCTTGAGCTTAGGGCTAGGAGTAATCCCTGAGCACAAAGCCACAAGTAAGCTCAGAGCATCCCTCCAACTTCCCCCCAAAACGAGCAAAACAAAAACAAAAATATGAAATAACACTAATCAGGACCAGAGAGATAGTACGGGGGTAAGGGGTTAGCTTGCAAGCAGTCACCCTGGTTTGATTCCCAGCACCACATGGTCCCCCAAATATCACTGGGAGCAACCTATGAACAAATAGGCAAGAGAACAGTCCCCTAGCACTGCCAGACATGGCCCAATTCCCAGCAAGACACTGTGCCAAGGGTCAGAGACATCAAGGCACTGGAGTGTGAGCTACACATGATCAGGGCTCCAAGTCCGACACCAGCACTTCATGCCCACCCCCCACCCCAGCACCGCGGGTGGAGCCTCAGCAGTCCCAAACCAACGGACCAGCAGCACCCACTGGGCTGAGTATCTGGAATGGCCATTACTTGGGAGGCACAAACAAAAATCAAAAAACCAACCGCTCCTGGGGTTGGAGTGATAGAACAGCGGGTGGGGTATTTGCCTTGCATGTGGCCAACCCAGGTTTGATTCCTAGCATCCCACATGATCCCCCTGACACCACCAGTAGTTCCTGAGTGCATGAGCCGGGAGTAACCCTTGTGCATCCTGGGTGTGACCCAAAAAGCAAAAAAAAAAAACCAAAAAACAAAAACGCAAAAACCCAACCGCTCCTCAGAACACCTCATATTGGCGGTGGCATGAGCACCTACCTACTGTCCTATGGTGGTGCCCAGGAATGTCCACTCAGGCAGTGGTCTGACTCTCTGATTGCTTCTGGCACACCTAAAAAAGGCCTTATCATCATGAAGCAGCACTCATCCAGGTCTAACGGGGCGAATGCTAGAGGCGACAAGGCAGGCTAAGAAACACACATGCTTCAAGACTAGCAACAGGTTGGAGGGACAGCACCATGCGGAGGGTGCTTGTTTTGCACAGGTTTGATTTCTGGCACACCATATGGTCCCCTGAACTGTGCTGGAGTGATCCCTGAGCTCTGCTGGGTGTGGCCAAAACAATTTAAAAAGTTAAAAAGAAAAGAAAAAAGATGAAGGCAGTACCCCCCTTCCAACAACCCGGAGTGGTGTGAGAACTCCAACGGCATTATAACAGCAGGGCTCCAGGTTCCATACCTGGGCACCACCATATAGCCCCAGTGGCCCCAGCACTGAAGGGAGCCCCCCGCCCCCAAAAAGACAGTGGTGAGATGGTTTGATTCACAGCGGCGCTGCACACAGGCAGAGGATGAGGAGCTTGAGGGCCCAGTGCAATAGGCCAGTGGGGAGGTGCTTGTCCAGGCAGGCGGCCCAGGTTCAAACCCCCGAATCTCATCTAGTCTCCCAAGTCCCACCAGGAATAATTTCCAAGCATGAGTCAGGTGTATCCCCTGAGTACACCAGATGTGGCCCTCAAAACAAAACATTCCCCAAAAATCTATACTTAAAAGTTTTATCCTGTAGCTGGAGGTACGAGGGTAGGGTGTTTGCTTTGCAAGCAGCCAACCGGGGTTTGACCCCTGGCACCCCATGTGGTTCTCTTAGCCCCACCAGATGTGATCCCTGAACACAGAGGTAGGAATAGCCACTGTGCACCTCTAGGTGTGGCCCTTCCCTAAAAAACGTTTTTTTGAATTTTTTAGTTCTCTTTTTTTTTGGGGGGGCGGATGTGACATGCAGTGGTACTTTAGAGGCTAGTCCTGAATCTGTGCTCATAGGTTACTTCTGGTAGTGTTGGGGGGTCATGAGGTATGAGGAACTGGGCCTCCTACACAGGATGTGCTCAGCTTGTACTATTTCTCCAGCTGGAAAGGTTAATAAACTTCATATTCTCTACCCTCTGGAGTTGCAAGTAATGACCCAGACATGTCCCTGCCTGGACCCTTCCCCCACCTGAAACTTCACCTACGTCTCCAGGTGGGGTCCCAAAGAATCTTCTCCAGGAAGAATAAACTTGATACATTTCTGCCAAGAAGCTCCAGACAGCTCCCAGCTGTAAAGACTGCTCTACAAACTGGCACCTCTGTTTTTTGTCTTGATTTTGGGGCCACACTGGGCAATTCCTCAGGGGTTACTCCTGGCTCTGTACTCAGAGATCTCTCCTGGCTATCATATGTGGTGTCACAGCGTGCAAGGCAAGCGCCCTACTGGCTGCACTATCTCTCCAGCCCCTGAACCTCGACATTTTTCTAGCAATTTTCTAACTCAGTCTTGTCTGCAGACTTGTCTGTGGTTGAAGGTCTCTGAACATTTCATTAATTCCCTACATTATTTCACTGACTCCCTAAATATCTCACTAACATTTCACTAGTATATTTCACTAAGTAACATTTCACTAGTACATTTCACTAAGGTACATTTCACTAAGTAACATTTCACTAGTATATTTCACTAAGGTACATTTCCCTAGTATATTTCACTAGGTAACATTTCACTAGTATATTTCACTAAGTAACGTTTCACTAGTATATTTCACTAAGGTACATTTCACTAGTATATTTCACTAAGGTACATTTCACTAGTATATTTCACTAATGGACATTTTACTAAACTCCATTTAGCAGTCTCTGTAGTGGAATTGCAAGAACAGAATGTTCTGCTCCCTCAATATGAAACATAATTGCGTTAAATGCTCTTTTTAAAAGTACATACCCTCCCCTGCCCCCAAATCCAGGCTTCCTGAAGTAGGTAGATCTGAGTCATGCAGTTTCCCACCTCAAATACTGACTGGTGTCTCACTGCTGAGAGGGTGGTCGAATACACTGAAGGACAACTACAGTTGTACTTGCTGTGGGGCTTACTCTGATTTATACAAGTTATTTGCACAAAAAAGTGAGTGCAGGAATCGAGATTGATATACCACTTGCTTGTTTAGCCATGAGACTTGGTGACACATCTCTAGCAAAAGTTTTCCACTGAGGGAGATAAAGTGGATAGGGTGCTTGCCTTGCATATGGCCTATCAGTTAAATCCCTGGCACCTCAAGCCAGGAATAGTTTCTGAGTGCAGAGCCAGGAGTAACTCTTGAGCCAGGTGTGACCCCAAAACAAAAAAATGTTTCCTACTTAGTCCCAACATCATCCATCACCTCCCAACTGCCGATGTCCACCCCATCCCAGGGTACAGCTTTGGCCTTGAAGGCCATCTCAGGGCTTAGCAAGCTTTAAAATACAGGATTAAAGCCTCGGGGATCCAAGTAAGGTGTTGAAATTCAACCATGTGCTTCCACGTGCTACACAAGCTCATCAGCTCCCCAAATTCCAACAACCTTAATGAGGGTCTATAATGAGTTAAAGGGGAGAGCTTGCACCGTGTGGGTCACTCAGACCTGAATCGCTGGTCGCCGCCCTTTTCCGGAAGATGCCCATACTTGGCAGTGGCTGGTATGGAATGACCAGGCCAGCATGGCCCCAGGGCTGTACTTGCCAACCTCATGTTTATTATTTTTATTTTGCTTGAGGGCCAGGTTTGGCAGTGCCCAGGGCACTTGGGGATCCTCGTGGCTCAGTGAGTGGGGATCGAAGGGAATCCCACTGGAAGGCCGCTGCCTGGCCTCCCCCTTCCATCGGAATCAGAGCCCGGAGACAGACCCCAGGCAATCTCCCCTAGGGACGTGGGTGCGGGGGAACATCCCATGACCTTTCCGAGTCCCATGTGATCCCCGCAGAGGGGTAGGGGCCGAGCCCGGCTGACCACGGATAAGCCGTAGGCTTTTGCGGCGAAGCCCCATCCCAATCCGCCTGGGGGCTCCCCCACATGGACTGGGGTACTCACAGAAACACAATATTCGGACAAAACCCCCGTTTTCATGATTCTTATTATTTTTTGGCAGCCCATAAACGGGTCACATGGCACGCTCTGCGGTTACGACCCCGGGGCCCGGCAGGATCAACGGAGGTGAGGTGCCCGGCGCCTAGCCACCCTGGACACCGGGGTGGGGGGGTCCAGCATTCCGCACCCCATCAGGAAGGCAACTTCTGACGGCCACCCGTGCGGGCTTCGGGCCCTCTTCTTCGTCCGCGGGGTCTCCGGGGCGGGGCGGGCGGGGGACGCTCAGGGGCGGGCTGGGGCCGGGCGGGGGGGCTGCGCAGCGCCGCGTCCTGACCCCAGGAGAGGTAGATTCTGGAAGGCCCCGGGTGCGGGCCCCCTTCGGGGGGCGGCGGCGGCGGCCCTAGACGCGGAAGCCCAGCAGGATGAAGAGCGCGAGCAGCAGGCACAGGAACGCCGCGTCGCGGGTGTCCTCCCAGCCGAAGCCCTTCTGGGCCCGCTGCTCGCGCAGCCGGCGCAGCGCCTCCCGCCGGGCCCGCAGGCGCCGCTCGCGCTCCAGCTGCTCCCCGTAGTGCGCCTGGTAGAAGGCGTCGAAGTCGAACATGGGGCGGCCGCCGCCCGGCGCCGGCTGGCCGCGGGGGGTCGCGGCGGCGTGCGGCGACGACGGCGGCGGCGGCGGCGCGTGGGCCGCGGCGGCGGCGGAGGACGCCGGGGAGGGCCGGACGCCGGCGCCGCGCAGGTCCTCGTCGCGGAGCAGGCCGCGGTCGTACTTGCGGCGCAGGGTGACGCTGCCCAGCACCAAGTAGGCCTGGGAGATGCGCGTGAAGCGCTCGGCCGCCTCCGCGCTGCCCGCGTTGCGATCCGGGTGGTAGCGGAAGCTCTGCCGGTAGTAAGCCGCCTTGATCTGCGCCTGCGTGGCGGTGGAGGGCACGCCGAGCAGCTCATAGAGCGCCGTGCGCGAGGAGGGGCCGCTGCCCGGGCAATAAGGCCGCGCCTCGGGGCCCCAGGCCCCGGCCGGGCTCGGCGCGACCCCGCGAGTCCGCCACAGGCTCCACAGGAACAGCCGCGGCCACCTCAGATCGCTTTTGGCCGCCATCTTGAATGGGTAGAGCGGGCGGGGCCAGGCGCAGCGGCCAATCGGAGGCGCGAGTGCTTTGACGGGCCTCGGCGCCCTAGCCAATGGCGTGAGCGAGGAGGCGGGGAGCCGGGTGGAGCATGCGTGTTCCGAGGCGTGCGGGGCGCCGACTGTATATAAGGGGAGCGCTGGGCGCTCGGCGGCGAGCGGCGTGCCTCGGAGGAGTGAAAGATGTCTGGCCGCGGACGACGCCCGGAGCTCGGCGGCCCGCCGGAGCTGGTGAGGCTCGCGGCCCGAGAAACCCCCTTCCCGCCGCCGCTTCAGCGGCTTAGCATCCCCGATTCTTCTCAACTTTTTTCTCTCTCTTTTTTCCCCCGCAGTTCTACGACGAGAGCGAAGCCCGGAAATACATGCGCAAGTGAGTGGCTGTGGCGGGGCTGCGGGGGCCGGTGCGGCTCGGAGAACAGCCGCGTCGGGGTGGGGGGACGCGGGGGAGAAGGCAGCGGGTCGGGTCCTTCTTTCCACCAGGGCTCCTCTGAAGCCACTTGTCGCTGAGCGACTCGACTCCGTGCACCCCGATAATCGGAGTTGAGGCGGCGGCGTCTGCTTCAAGGTGGGGTTCTGAGGGGAGGAGGGGGCCGCTCGCCCCAGCCAGTGGGGAGGCGGCAGAGCCCGCGGATGTCCGTTGCGGGGACGGTGCTGCTATGGGGGTTCGGAACTAGTCGCAGGCTGTTCCCGGCCGTACCCCGACTTCCATCAGCCCGGATCCCCCAAGCCACGCGTGGTGCCTGAGAGTTTCACAGGGGGTGTCGGTCACTCCCAAGCCCCGGTTCCGGGCGACAGCGCGGGAGCCAGGTATTTCCTGCTTTCCCCAGAGAACTCTCCCTCCTGTTCAGTGTAGAGGAGAGGTGGGAGCGACAATCTCTGGTTTTGTAGCAGAGCTGTGTGTGTGTGTGTCAGAGGTGTGTGTGTGTCAGAGGTGTGTGTGTGTGTGTGCGCGCACGCTGATTTTGGAGTCACATCCAACAGTGCTCAGGGGTTACTCCTTGCTCTGCACCGGGGGATCACTCCTGGGGGTGCTGGGGGGACCATATGGATGGGATTCAGAGATGGAACCCAGATTGGCCGTGTGCAAAAGTAAATGTCCACCCCACCGCACTGACGTCTTTTTTTCTGGCATTTTGATAAATAGCGTGCACAGGTTCAGAATTGTTACAGGGGGCTGGAGCGACAGCACAGTGGGTAGGGCGTTTGCCTTGCATGCGGCCTACCCCGGTTTGAACCCCAGCATCCTGTATGGTCTCTCCTCCCCCCCCCCCCCCCCAGCACTGCCAAGAGTAATTCCTGAGCGCATGAGCCAGGAGTAACGCCTGTGCACCGTGGGTGTTACCCAAAACGCGCAAAAAAAAGAGAAAAAACACAGCCAGTTCAGTGGCGAAAGCAACTGCCGTGCAAAAAGAATTGTTAACGACAGGATCGTTCAGTATGCTGTAACCATAGTCCTGTGACCATAGTCGCTCAGGAAAACTAGTTTGCGTTTCTGTAGCTTGAAGAAAAGGAAAAATAATGTGTTGGTCATATGTGTGGGGAAAATTTTTTTTTAATTTTAATTGGTGTGATTTTGGGGCCACACCCCATGGTGTTCAGAGGTTACTCCTACCTCTACACTCAGGAATTATTCCTGGCCGTTCTCGGGATCATATTGGATGCCAGGGATCAGACCTGGGTCGGCTGCAAATTAACAGCGCTGCACTCACATGGATTATTGGGCCCACACTAGAATAATTGTTTGTTAAACTGCAGAGAGGACCTTGGGAGTGTTGTGTTCACTCCTTTGTTGCTTGGTTGTGTTTCTTCAAGCTCGCGCATGATTGATGTGCAGACCACTATGGCCGGGAGAGCCTTGGAGCTCCTTTGCCTGCCTGAGGATCAGCCCTGTTACCTTCTGGACGTTGGGTAAGATCCCAAGACCCACTTCCCGGTTGTTTGTGCAGTGGAGCATCTTTCTATGTCCTGAGTTTCTGGTTTGACTGTCTTCCAGCTGTGGGACCGGCCTGAGCGGAGATTATCTCACGGATGAGGGACACTGCTGGGTGGGCTTTGATATCAGCTCCGCCATGCTTGGTGAGTTGGTCCTCAGCCCTTCATGCCTGGGAAGCAGTGATATAGGTGGTCTCCCCTTGACGTGTTCTTCTTTTTCAATGTAGATGCAGCTTTGGATAGAGAAGTTGAGGGAGATGTGTTCCTGGGGGACATGGGCCAGGGCATCCCCTTTAGACCTGGCACCTTTGATGGCTGTATCAGGTAAGTGTTGGCACATCTTGGAGATTTAGTCCCATAGGTAAGGTAATTTCCAATCATCAAACAGGAGATGTCAGTCTGTACATCTGAAGACTTTTAAGTATAGCGTGTAGGAGCAAGACTCCCAAATACGTGGGATTATTTACTTATTTTGTATTATGAAGTGGCTTGACACCTGTTCAGCACCAGGGCTGCTTTTCACAGTGTGGCTGGTCTTCTAAGCCTCTCGGAGTCACCTTGGTTCCATAATGCATTGGAGAGTTCTGTGGCTGTCTCATATTATTTCCTTTTTGCAGGATCTCAATAGAAAAATGGTCTAGATTGCTCCAATTTCTTAATTGTTTAAGATTCTATTCTGAGTTGTCATGGCCAAATTTTGAGCTTGTAACAAGTGTTTATTTTGATAACCTTTTAGAACATTGAAAATAGAGGGGGCTTGAGAGATGGAACAAGCTGGTATGGCATTTACTTTGCATGTGGCAACCCAAGTTTAATCTCTGGCACCCTGTGTGGTCCCATTAGCCCCCCCAGGAGTGATCCCTGAGCACCACCATGTGTGACCCATAAACTTAAAATAATACAAAAGATTTTTGACTTTTTTCTTCTCAGTTTGAACTTAGTTCAGTAGTTCCTGGGGAGTGACAGGGTCAGATCTGTAGGTGGCTCTTTTGGGGGTTTGAGTCATTTTCAACGAGGGTGTTTTGGGTTGTTGCTGGCAGTGCCCTGGGGATTGCTCGTGGGGCTCTTGCATGTGAAGTGTAGGCTCTAGCTCTGAATATTTTTTGGGGGGGCACACAGTGGTGTTCGAGGCTTCTACCTCTGTGTTCAGAAATCACTCCTTGGGCTCAAGGAAGCCTATGGGATGCTGGGAATCAAAATTGTGTTGGCCACATGCAAAGCAAACATCCTAGCTCTAGTCCTGGAATTTCCTCCTGCTCATTCTCCTTTTGCCCTTTGTTATACTGTCCAGGGCTCAGACTTGCTGTGCTGCCTACTGGTCGCCCTCCCCTTGGTGTGGCCCTGGCCCATTTGGTCGTGATATGCCAGGGTCTGCACACTTGTGGGGACAAGGACCATGATGACAGGGATCCTGAGCTGTGTGCGGGTGGAAGCAGTTGCTCTGCCACTAAGCATGGCCCCAACTCCCGATTTGGAGAAGAAACGAGAGGAAGCTTCTGGAGGCAATTGGGGTGGTTTGTGAGAACTGTCAAAGCAGTGGCTGGAGGGAGGATGAAACACTGGCACTTGGGGGAAGAATGTGTGCTGACACGAGAGACGTGGATGTCTGAGAGCTGCTGAGGTTGGAAATGATTCGAGATGCAGTCACAGGAAGTGACTGAGGAGAGGAGTGAGCGAATGACTTTCGTACATACTGGGAAGTTTTGATCATGGGAGGAGGACCAGCATCCACGGCAGAGACAAGAAGCGGAGTTGAGGATTGTAGGACTAATGCAATTGGGGCACTGCCCTTGCAAATCTGAGGACACGTGTTCCACTCCCTGGTCTGCCACATGTGCTCAGTGCAGTCCTGGCAGCTCTGCGGTCTGCTGTCCTCTGCAGTGAATTTCGGCTGTAGGGCAGCCGGCCTAGGCTCCACGAAAAGGGCACAAATGCTGCGGCTGGAAAACTTGTGCAGAAAGTGTAGCCTGAAGCACAGCTGTAACCTCTGCTGAGAGTGAGACCCTTGGTGAGTGAGTGCTGAACTGGAGAGCAAAGCCCAGTGAACACTGGCCACATGGGCGAACGCCACAATCTGATGTGTATGAGCCCAGCAGGCACCACACGGCTTCTGTGCTGTCACAAGAGCCATGGAGGAGGTGGGGGGATTCAGGAATTGGGGACAGGGGCCAAAGTGATGGGACAGTAGGTAGGGTGCTTTCCTTGCCTGTAGTAGCCAACATAGGTTCAGTCACCAGCACTCCATGTGGCTAACCACCCCCCCACCCTTTCCCAGCCTGCCTGGAGTAATCCTTGAGCATCACCAAGTATTATTTAAAAAGAAGTTAGGGACCAGAGAGATAGTACAGAGCATTAAGTGCTAGCCTTGGACTTGACTGATGTAATTTTGATGACTAGCACTGCCAGGCGTAACCCTTGAGTTCAGCTGGGTGTTTTGCCTTGTCGCTCCCCCCCCCCCCCCCCCCGGAAGCATTTCTGTAGACTGGCAGTATGGATCTTGATTCAGGCCACACTTGCACGCAATTTTCCAGACTTGTGGGGTGGTGCACACAAGAACAAAGTGCGTTGTCAACAGCGGGGGGGGCCCTGTGCTATGCAGTGGGTCGATCACTCATGCCGCAGGAAGGGAAGGGGAGAGATCCTGGTCTCCATTCTGACCTGGTCCTTCCCCCTTGCAGCATTTCTGCATTGCAGTGGCTCTGTACTGCTAACAAGAAGTCGGAAAATCCCGTCAAGCGCCTGTACTGCTTTTTTTCTTCTCTGTATTCGGTTCTGGTAAGTGGAAGATCTTTGCCCCTAACCTGGCTGCTTGCTGCCCTGCAGAAGTGGAGGTGTCCAAGGAACACCAGTGGGAACATCAATGGGATGGTGGGATCTTCCTATGGCTTGGTCTGTTTCAATTCAAAACTTAGAAAGTTTGATGGTGGCGTTCAGCTAGACCAAGAATCCCTCTCTGAGCAACCCATCCTGACGCTCCAACTCACATTTTCCCACTTCTGACTGCCTGCTGCAGGCGTGGGGCGCTGCTGAGCTCCTATGTGAGCTTTATCTTCCCATGTTGGTGCTGATGCAGACTCTCACATTTTTCTAAAAGTGAATTTGAGAGGTTAGAGTGATAGTTCAGTAGGTAAATTGCTTGCTTTGTATGCTGCTGACCTGAGTTTCATCCCTGGCACCCAGTAGAGTCTCCTGAGCACCCCAGGGGTGATCCCTGAGTGCTCAGCCAAGACTAAGCCCTGAGCACTGCCAGGTGTAGTCCAAGAACCACAGTGGGGGAGGTTAGGGGGAGGGCACACAGCCTGGAAGCAGCTATTTGTCGGTCTCCTTGGCTCCCCATTGTGCCCCGCTTTCAGGGGTGGCTTCTTTCCACAGACTGCATGTTCTGGTGCCAAGTTGGGTTTCTTTCTTACTCGGGGTGCTGAAGTTCTGATGACTTCGATGTTGAACTCACTCTCTCCCTGGAAAATTCTGTCTGCTTTCTGTTCAGATGTACCCTAGTTCTTTGTGGAACCAAGAATCCACTCAGGAACCGTCCATGGACCTTTCCTGGGACCTTGTTTTCTTACAGCTTTTCCAGGGGGTGGCCCATATATACTGGGTGCTCAGGGCCCTGTGCAGTTGGTGCTGGGGAGTGAACCCAGGGCTCTGACCTTGTGCAGGGCAAGTGCTCCAGCTCTCGGCGCCATTTGCTGCCCTCAGGAACTTACAATTTGGGGGCCATAGTCATTGCTGATAGTGGGCAGGGGGTGGGGGAGGTGGGTGGGTTTCTTCTTGTACTTGTTACCCAAAGAACCTGTGCATCTGCATTTGGGGGGACACGTTCGGCGTAGCCTATTCAGCTCCTTTGCTTACAGGCACGGGGAGCCCGAGCCGTCCTGCAGCTGTACCCGGAGACCTCAGAGCAGGTGAGCCCCTTGCTCTTGGGGGGGCGCGGGGGAAGAGGGGCAGCATGCAAGCAGTGTAAGAACCTGCTGTTCAGGAGGAGCAAGACTCCAGGTGCTGACCGGGCACGGGACCGAGTGGCCAGCACCACATCCCTGATGGTGTTTTTTTGGTTTTTGCTTGGGGGGTGTGGAGGGAGAGCAGTCCAGTGGACTGACCAGGTGGATAAAGAGAGGGTATAGACTCAAAGCCAGATTCATAAATGGGATGGGGAGGAGGTAGGGGGGTGACACTGAGAACATCAGGAGGGCATGGGGTTTTTGTTTTCTGTTATTTTGCGGCCACACCTGGCAATGCTCAGGGGGTTACTCTTGGCCCTATACTCAGGAATCACTGCTATCAGTGCTTTAGGGAACCATATGGGATGGCGGGGATCAAACCCATGTTGGCAGGGCTAACTCGACTATCGCCCTGGCCTGTACAGCAGCAGTTTGTTCCAGGACATACAAAGTTTAAGAACAGGGAGGTTCATCCTCGGAACCACAGGCCAGTGGTTGTGGAGCAAGTCCTGACTCCTCCCCTTCTCCTGTTTGCCACTTTCACTTCCTGCAGTTTACACGGGAACACTGATCTTGGGGCTAGAAAGCCCATGAGGATGGAGGGAACTGCCTGTTCAGGGGCCATCTCCACTCTACCCCAACCCCATGGTGTAGTTGGTTGTCAGGGTTGGGTCCAGCTTGGGCTGCTTCTTCAGGCTATTGGGCTTCAGAATTGCCTCGGTCAGCTCCATCCTAGGGTCTCCAGGGGGGTGCAGGGGAAGCTGCCTGCCACCCTCTCCCCAGCCTCCCTACTGACCCCCCTCCCCGCCCCCCTGCACTGTCTCTTCAGCTGGAGCTGATCACGGCGCAGGCCACCAAGGCTGGCTTCACTGGTGGCGTCGTAGTGGACTACCCCAACAGCGCCAGAGCTAAGAAGTAAGTCAGTCATGGGTGCGGTAGAGGCAGGGCCCTGCATCCCGTGACCTACAGCCGAGGGGATGGAGGTGCCGGCTTGGTTCCCAGGAGGCTGAGGTCATGGTTCACCCACCAGGCTTTCTTCGCTGTTTTGGGGCACAGTGCTGGGGTTTAAACCCCTACCTAGGCCACTGCTGTCCGCTGAGCTCCATCCCTTTGTCACTCAGCGGACTGAGCCAGGCCTTCACTGCCCTTCTTTCAGGTTCTACCTCTGTCTCTTTTCTGGACCTTCGACCTTCCTGCCACAGGTGAGTTGGCAGGCCTGTGTCCGTTGGATTCCTCTCTGGGCTGGGGGCCTAGGTCCCCCTTAGCCCTGTGGGGTGGAGCAGGCAGGTCAAACATGAGCACTTTGATTCCTACAGGGGCTGAGTGACACAAAGGCTGAGGAGGCGGCTGAGGAGGCCCCCGTGGAGTCTTCCTTTGTGACTGGGAGGTAAGGGGGTTGCCCAAACAAGGCAGAAGCTCAGTTGGCCTGCTGCCCCTTGTCAGAAAAATAATTGCTTCGCACTGAAAGTGCCTTTTCCAGTGGAGGGTGCTGGGGTTGCTTAGGGGTGACTGCTGGCAGGGGGGCTCAGGGTGAGGACAGAGCGTGCACGTGCTCCAGCTTGTTGCTCACTCCAACCCCTGGAAACGGAGCTTTAAGAGAAATCCCTCAAACGCATCCAAGAATTGTCTGCCACCCCTCCTCCTGGGGCTGCCCACTCTGGGGCCTCAGTGGCAGAAGTGGAGTGTGTGCCGGGGGGGTGGGGGGGGGCTGCAAGCAGTGCCTTTGTCCTTGCTTCCTCTGTCTGGCAGGATTTAGTAGTGGTTGTGGCTGGTCCAGAACCCACCAGCACCCTAGAACTACATTGGCTCCCGGGCCAGGTAACAACCTTCAGCCTGACCCCTTTCTCGCCATGGCTGGCAGGCTGGTTCCTTTCGAAGATCTCTGCCACGTCCTGGTCCTTCGGCCTACCTGACTGTGGTGACTTCTTCCCTCACTGCCCTGGGCCGTTTCCATCAGCACAGACTTGAGCTCTGGGCTTAGGAACGCTCCTTTTGTTCTTTGAGGGCTGGACCAGTCATCACCTTCCAGGGGCCTCGTCTCTGGCCCCCCCCTGCAGTTGTCCTCTGGGTGTGTGCCTCTGCTGGACTCTACTGCAGTCTCCTCCTACTCTTCTGGTTTCCCCATCTCTGTCCTCGGGCTGGCCTTGCCTCATTCGCTCCCCTGGCCTCCCCCCACTGTCCTGCTCCCCCCTCCCCACCTTAGACTCCTGATTGCTGCTCCTCAAGCATCTGCTGACCCGGCCTGGCCCTCCTTCCAGCTGTCTGCTTTGAGCCCCAACACTGCCCTTCACTCTGGGGTGGTGACCTTGGTGCATCCAGTTTCTGTGCGTCACACTGCCCTGAGGTGTGTGACTGTCAAAGCTCTTGGTTTTTACCCACTTTCCTCCATCCGTGTCATCCTCTCATACAGCTACTCCACTCTCGTTTTTACGACCCCCCCCCCCCCCCCCGCATTGTTAAGCCTCCTCGCTGAGTTTGCAAAGAGTGTGGACCTTCTTGGCCTTTTCACCTGTCCTGTCGTGGCAGCAGAATTGTGTCCTGTCATCTCTGGTCAGCATTTTTCTATTTTTGTTTCTATTTTGGGGCTGCACCCAGTGTGCTCAGGATGACTTCCGGCTCTGTGCTCAGGAATGACTCCTGGAGGGTACTTGGGGACATACAGGATCCTGGGGGTTGAACCCGGATTGGCTGTATGTAAGGCAAGCACCCTCCCTTCTGTAATGTCACTCTGGAACCCCTTCCTTTTGGGAGCACTGTCTCTTCCCCCAGTCACAGGTGTGTTTCTTGGTTCTCTGAGTCCCTGAGTACACTTGGGGACCAGTTTTGGGGAGACACACAGGAATGGGCATTCGGTCTTTGAGGCTGGTTTCTCAGGAGGCTGACTACCCTTGTGCTGTGCCTTCTGCTGGGAACGCTTTGGGTTCTGACTGCCCAGGCTCCACGTCAGGACCTGGTCCCATGGAGCTGTGGCGGAGCCTGGTCAGGCCCGCAGTCATGATCAGAGCGGTCTTGAGCTAGACTGTTGGGTTGGAAGTGGTTTGGGACATTTGTCACGGTCTCTGCCAGTCCAGGACATCGAGTAGTGGTAGCCGCCTTCCCTGTCCCTGCCAGGAAGTCCTGAGGGAGCTGGTCTGGTTTCAGTTGCCAAGAAGTAGCATGGCCCCCGCCTCTGCTCCATAGACGGAGGCTCCAAGTGGGCACTGGCCCAGTAGGGAACTGTCCTGAGGGTGCATCTTGGTGTGCCTCACCTGAGCGCAGTCCTGCCTCCCAAGGGCAGGCCAAGCCTCTGAGCCGTGTGTCCGTGCAGGGTCCCTTTCAGGATGACCAGGCGCTGGATGGTGAGGAACACCCGCCAGTGGGTGCTGCAGAAGAAGGCGCGCCGCCGACGCCAGGGCAGGTGAGTCCCCAGGGGCACAGGCTGGGATGAGGGGGGCTCTGGGGTCCAGTTCTCTTTCCTGAAACATTGTGTTGTGTTGCCGCCTGTTTTTTGCCACAGGGAAGTCCGACCTGACACCCAATACACGGGCCGCAGGCGCGGACCCCACTTCTGAGCAGAGCAGGAGGCCCTCCTGAGGGGCCACACATCTGGGAAGGTTCCCATATCCAAGTTCCCGTTTTTCCCATGGATCTAAGACAAGTTTTCAAGAAAAGTTCTAAGTTCTAACTATTTTTTCTCTAAATGTTTTGAGAAAAAAGTTCTGAGAGCACTTTATTTTGTTTAAAAGCAATAAACACTTTTGGTTGCATTCTGGCACTGGCATATTTCACCTTCAGTCTTCCTGGGCTTGTGCAGAAGCCTCTGGCTTCCTGAGTAGAATTCAGTCCCTTTTGGATAGTTGTGGGGGCCACTGGGGTCACTCGGATGTGCACGGGCTTGAGGTGGGGCTGGGGACTGCACCTGAGGCACGCTCCGTGGGCTATGTACAGGGCTTGCTCTTGGGCCTTCTGGAGTGCATTCCTGCTGTGCTTTTTTTTTGCTTTGGGAATTGAACTTGGGTTGGTTGTGTGCAAGGCAAACGCCCTACCCCCTGTGTTATCGGACCCATCAGCCTCCTGGGGCATGAAGGCCAAAGGCTCCAAGCCTTATTCCCTAAGACACATTTTCAGCCAGGTACAGATACAAATGTTTATTCTACATAAAAATGTCACAAAATGGGCAGCTGGTTGTCCCGAGACCTTTGGTGAGGGGGTTTGGGGGGGGCGGGGTAGCTTTCAAGAAGGCAACACGGACAGAGGTCACAGTCACTGCAGGAGCAAAGCGGAGGGAAAGTGGGGCCCCGGCGACCCCCTGCTGCATGCACCCGCATGCACACTCCCTGCCGCAACAGGAGGGGGCACACTTCTGTGGGGAGCCCCGAGATGCTGGAGAGGAGCCCCTCCCTGGCTGGCTGCCGAATACTGCATCTGAGACACCTGACACCCACGTGGCACATTGATGGGGGACAGCGAGGGTAGGACAGGATTGCAGGCTACAGTGACTTCCCCGAGAGTATGAGAGCAGGGACCAAACTGTCCCAAACATGCAACACAATGGCTTGAGGACCCGATGGGCCTACTGGGAGAGGTGCTCTCCCCCAGCCTCACGGAGTGGCCGTTGGGGGCCTCCAGTCCCCTCCAAGGTACCTGGGACCAGGCCTAGGGCCAAGGGCTTGCTCCCAGGAGCGTGGGAATGTGGGAAGGGGATGGAGGCTGCCCGAGGGGTCTCTGCCCATCAGGGAAAGGAGTCAGCAGCCACCTGGCCATGACGTGGAGCCTCCCTGGCAGTGCTGGGCTGGTAGAGGCTGCGCTGGGCTGTCTCAGGGCCACCCCCCCCCCCAACCTGAAAAGCAGCACCATGTGGCCAGCTGGTCCCCAGGGGACAGCTGGAGAGGACAGGCAGATGGGGTAGGTCAGGAGAACAAAGGGCAGGGAGGGGACTTATGAACCCAGGGCAGCCCTGCCTGGGAGGAGGGGGCATGGGCAGGCCCTGCAGCTGTCCCTTGCTGCCCCCGCCTCTTCTGTACAGACACACACGGTCACCACGATCATGCACACAACGGCTCAGGCAGGCGGGGGCAAAGGCCCAGTGGCAGGGGCGGGGAGGAGTAGGCAGGGAGGAGGCAGCAGCCAGGGGCCACTCAGGGTGGACGATCCAGAGGAATGGCAGGCGGGTGGCGTCTAACCAAAGATGCCCCCAAAGGTGGAGGCGATGATGATGCCCAGGATCACACAGCATATGATGATCATGATCTTCTTCTGCACCGGGAAGAGATGGGGGCTCAGTCCAGGGGACAGGGCTACGGATGACCACACGACAGAGAAGGGGCTTTGCTCTGGACAGAACACTGAGGGCTGAATGTTCTGAGCAAAGTGGACAGTTTAGGGGGGCTCAGAGTTTGGGCTACTGACCCGGCGAGCCTTGCTCTGGTACTTGACGGCCTTCTTGGTGTCCGACACAGCCCTCTCCACATAGTCCACCGAGTGTTCCACGTTATACTCGATCCTGTCAATCATCTCCCCCTGCAGGGCCATGGGCCACCAGAGCTCCAGGGGGCAGCCCCTCGGAGTAAGGTGGGGGACTTCTCAGGATTGGGCTTTGTGAAAGTGCCCTAAGGTTGGAGAGAGAAGGGGACATGAGGATGGGCAGGGGCTTCTCCCCCATGCCCTCCAGGCCAGATCCGAGGCAGCGCCCACTGTTCCCCCAGAGCTGCCCGTCTGGGGAGGGAAAGGACTGTGCAGGCTGGGGAGCAGGGTGGGGGCCACGCGGAGCCCAGTGGCGGACAGGAAAGCAAGGTAGCCAGGGCTGGGCCAGAACCAGGGGACCATGGGGAACCCCCGGCTCCACCTTCCCAGATGTAAGGGTTCCCGTCACTCTATTCCCTTGGAGCCTGCTCTGAGCCCCACCACGGAGCACTCTCCAGGGCAGGCCGCAGAAGCTTCCTCATCCCACCTGCTTCCTAACTTGGTCCTGCAAGACCCTGAAACCTAGAAGACATTCAGACGCCCACCCCATCCTGTGCTATCTGCCCTCCCACCACAGACCTCCCTCCTGCTCCTCAAACAAGCCACTGGGCTGGCATGGCTGGACCCTCAGCCTGGCAGCCCTCTCGTCCCAGAGAGGCCCTCCCAGGATACCCCATTCAAAGTGGCCGCCATCATTATCCTGGTGTAATTCCACACATTGCCCTTGGCCTAGGTACATCGGCATCACCCTTGAGATTATTAGAAATGCTAGTTCATGGGGCTGGGGCGATAGCACAGTGAGGAGGGCACTTGTCTTGCACACCGCCAACTAGATTCGATTTCCAGCATCTCTTAGGATCCCCTGAGCAATGCTGGGAGTAATTCCTAAATGCTGAGCCAGGAGTAACCCCTGGAGCACTGTCCGGTATGGCCCAGAAACCAGAACAAAACAAAACAAAAGACAGGGCCAGAGTGATAGTACAGTGGTCAAGGTGCCTGTCTCACATGCGGCACACCCAGGTTCGATCCCAGCATCCCATACGATCCCAGCATCCCATATGGTTCCCTGGCCCCTCCAGGAGTGATTCCTGAGCTTAAAGCCATGAGTAACCCCTGAGCACCCCTGGGAGTGGTCAAAAAAAAAAAAAAACAGAACAAGTTCAGGGCTGGGGAGAGAGTTCAATGTGCTGAGCCTATGTCCTGCATGCACAAGGCCTGGGTTTGCTCCCTGGCACTGCACAGGGTCCCCGAATACTGCAGGGAGTAGCCTTCGAGCACCAACAGGTATGGGCCCCCCCAAACCAAAAAAGGAATATAAATTCAGTGGCACCCACCCACCCACTAATCTCTGGGAACTGGGAAACATAATGGGCATGCCGCAAGATTTTGGGGTGTTTCGTTTTCCAAGTCTGAGAAGCTTGAACAGTTGCCTTAGGCCTGGCACAAGAGAAAACATTCTGTCCTTCCCTGCTGCGGCCCTTTCATCAAACTCACATGCATTCCAGGGAGCAGGCCCTCCGCTGTCTGGGTCACTTCTAAGCCTGCCTGGGATCCACAGTGCCCATGAGACAAACCATTGGCAACAGACAGGGCGAGCTGGGCGTGGGGGGCTGGGGCCATGCAGGGCCAAGCAGAGCCATGCAGAGAAGGGTCAGGTAGTTTCTAAAGGGTGGCTGGTTACCTGGACACTCAGGCCCTCCCCGGCAGGGCAGCATGTCGGGCAGAAATGGGAAGGGTTAGTTCAGCCCTGGGGGGGATGAGGAGGGCTGGGGACACTGTGGGGGTGGGGCACTGGGGTGTCCTGCCAGGGGTGTGTACCTGGCTCTCCACCAGCATGGCCATGTCCATGAACATGTCATGCAGCTCCCGGATGCTGTTCTCCAGCTTGATGATCTCACTGTGCCGCGTCTCGATCTCGCTCAGAGCCTGCTTCGAGATGCTGGAGTCCATGATGATCTGGGGAATGGCGTAGGGCTCTGTGCTGGGACCCGGGGGGAGAGGACCAGGACAGAGGCAGGCCACGGCAGCTGGGACCGACCATGGCCTGGGCAGAATGTTCCAGAAGCAGGCCTTGAACCCTCCCCACTTCCTCCTGGTTGTCTGCAATTTTTCTTTTTTTTTGCTTTCTGGGTCACACCTGGAGATGCACAGGGGTTACTCCTGGCTCTGCACTCAGGAATTACTCCTGGTGGTACTCAGGGGACCATATGGAATGTTGGGAATTGAACCCAGGTCGGCCGTGTGCAAGGCAAACACCCTACCCGTTGTGCTATGCTCCAGCCCGTCTGCAAATTTCTTGGGGGTAGATTTCCCATCTGTGGGGTGGGGCTATGAACACATCTGCCCTTGGCTCACAGCTGCTCAGCACCACTATACAGAGCCCGGCACAGCACCCCAAGGACCCACGACTGGGCCAAACTTTGCCCACCCTCCCGCCAATTCTCTTCCCTCCCCTCCGACTGTGTAACTGCTACCACCTTCAGAAGCCCTCCTGGGGCAGGGTCCAGCAGAGGGTCCTGACCCGTGCAGTAAGGGTAGTAAGGTAGCAGGCCCCACTGGAAGGGATCCGGAGGCAGAAGTCTGTCTGCTTCTCCCTTTGCCACTAACTTAGCTGACCTCCGTGTGGCTACTTGGCCTCACTGGACAGCTCAACCTTTTCTGAAATCTACTGCCAGGTAGCTGTCCCAATGCACAGCCCCTGCCCAGGGATTCCCAGTGGAAAGGGCGGCGTCCGTTCTCACCCCGGAGGCAAAAATGGCCGGGTTGCCACTCTCCAGCATGTCCTCCAGCTCCTCACTGGTCGTGGTCCTGCCGGCTGAAGCCAGAGCAAGCAGTGAGCCGAGAGGACCCCCGGAGAGGCAGCGGCTGCCCCGCCCCTTCAGCCTGACCCCGCCCATCAGACATAGCCCCGCCCACCCGGCCCCGCCCCTCGTTACTGATCTCCAGCTGCCTCTGGATGCGGCCCTTGCAGCGCTCGCGGTAGTCGGACTGTGTGGCGTTGTACTCGGACATGACCTCCACAAACTTCCGCGACAGTGTGGAGTGCTGCGGGGTGGAGACGGGGGTCGTGGTGGGGCATCAGGCCCGCCCCCTCCCCGCCCACGGGGGCGGAGCCCCCGTCCCCGCCCCGCCGGCCCAAAGGTCCGTACCTGCGTCTTCCGGATCCGCAGGTCCGCGGACGAGCGGTTCAGACCCTCCTCCTGCTCGATGCTCTGCTCGATGCCTGGAGGAACCGACGGCTGCTGAGCCCGAGGCTGCCCTACTCGCCACTGCCGCCTACTGCCACCCCCAGGATTTGCACGAGACCTCGGGGGCCCGCTAGGGCCAGGACGAGCGCCACCAAGCCCCTCCCGGCAAAGGCCCGCCCACCTGCGCTCTCGGGTGTGAGACACCCACATACTACGCGCAGGGTTAGAAGGCTGAGCACCCAGCAACGGGGCGTGCCTCGCCTGCTGTGTGCACATCGGTTCCCAGTGGGGGTTTCTGGGTGGGGGCTGGTGGTCTGGACTTCCTTTTACCCTCTTTAGCTTAAGAGGGCGGGCGGTACCCTAGCTAGCAGCACTCCAGGAGCATGTCTTGAGCATCTGGTCAAGGCCCTGTCCAAAGCATGGCACAAATGGACCCATCTGAGTAGCTGTGGAGACTGGGCATCTGCTGGCACCCTTGTTAAGGGAGCAAAATCCCACGGATTTGCTCAGAGTTGGAAAAAACCCCCGTGGGCTGCCTGGAGGAAGCAGGCGTGGCGCCCAGACTCACTCTTTAACTTGGAGCGAACTTTGTTGGCAGTCTTCTTTATGTCAGACATGAGTTCCTCCAGCTCCTCCTTCGTCTCTGGGGAGGCAGACAAGTGTGGAGTGGCGGGGAGACACCCCGGGTTTCCCTCCTTCCTGGGGTAAGGCACTCAGCCTGCCTTGCGATCCCCAGCCAGGAAGTGAAGCCTCCTTCCTCGAGGTTCCCCACCCCCTGCAGATAACAGATGGGTCTAAATTTAAGGCAGACAACCGTGGAGCAGCTGGTGATGCTGGAGCTGGCACTGGGGAACATTTACTTGGTCCCTGCATGAGCTGAAGTGGTGGATGTGGGTTCACCCAGCATTACCTGATGGCTGCAGGGGGCTGAGGGGGGAAGCCCCCCACTCTCGCCAGTGGGGCCCCTCGCCGGAGCCAGAAGCCAGCTCCCCACTTCTAAAGGCTCATTCAACTCCGGGAGGGGACAGAGCTTCAGAGCTTGTTCTCCAGGAGGATGCACCTGCTGGATACCCAGCGAGTACTGGAGGGGGGGGGGAGGGGGGGTTGAGGAACCAGGAGGCTCTTGGCGAGGGTGGGCGCTGATGGAGAAGTTCCAATGGGCAGGCCACTGGGGCACAGCGCCCATGAGGTGGCCGGGAGCTGGGAGCACCTGGGGGTGTGGTCTCACTGGCTCCTGAGGCAGGGGTGGGGGGAACCCGCTGCCCCATTCTCCCTACTCTGAGAAAGAGGGATTGGCTGGTAAAGTGGGAGCAAGCCTGCTTCCCTGGGGGGGGGGGGTGCGCATCTATAATCCCCAGCTCCAGGGCGCCACACCCAGAGGGAGACACACAAACGAAAGCAGCTCCCAGCTTCTGCACACCCTCGGCTCCCCGGGGGCCTGGGCAACCCAGCCAGGAGGGCCACCCCTGGGAGATCCCTCCCAAGAGGCACGTGCACCAGGCGAGTGGGGGGCTTCAGGGAGCGGAGGAGGGCGCTTCATTCCACCCAACAAAGGAAAAACTTGGTTCCCAGCTGCTCTGACGTCTTCAGCCACTTTTGCTCAGACCCAAAATAGCCCAGCCCGGATGGCAGCCCCCAGAGGAGCCGACAGGGAGCCTTGGCCGGGAAGCCCGCTCGCTCGCAGCTGCCAACTTCCCCGACTGCGTCCCCCACTGCCCCTTCCCGCGACCCGCCCGGGCACCTAGCGCACGGCAGGAACTTCCGGCCACCCCTCCTGGCTGAGCTCGGGCCGATTATGAACTGGTCCCACTGACTGTAGGTGTCAGGGCATGGGTCCAGGGGAGCAGGAGCACGGGGAGCCTTCGCCCCCAGCAGTCCTGTCTGGGCGTGTGGATGGCGGGGCCCGCGGTGACTTCCTGGAGCCCGGAGAATGCCCGGCTCCGGGGTCCGCGTGGCCAGTGCCAGGGCTGCAGCTCCCTCCGGAAGCGCGGTCTGCTCGGCCACTCTGCCCTCCCACTGTGCTGCCGCCTCACAGCCGCCATCTGCTCTCCAGGAGAGGGAGCCGGGCTGCCGGCCCCTGGGGATCCCAGACAACTCCCTCTCCCGGGAGAAAGGGGTGCAGCCAGTCCCCGCACCCACGGGCGGGACTAGTCTCCCGGCCCCGCCCACCTCCCAGGGGACCTAAGCAGGAAGCCCCAGCTGGGGGTAGGAGGGGCTGGGGAGGGGGGGTGTCCCCGGGTGGGGTTGCAGAACTGTTTATCATCTTTGTTTGTTTTTTCATTTGGGACTCACTTTAGAAAAAAAAAAACACTTTGTAGGGGTGTGTTTTTCTAATTATTTACAGTTTCATGCACAAGTTCTGATGTGATTTATCTATTAGTTTCGTCTTTTGTCCCTAAAAGTCCAAAACTGAATGTTATGCTTTCCATATGTACAACTGTATCTGCTTTTTAAAAATCCGTACAGACGGTATTTATTATTGTTTACTCGAGCTCTCGTCAGAGTCTTGTTCCTTTTTTTTTTCCCTATTGTATTTCTGAATTCTGCACGCCCAGGATGACTCCTGGAGGCTCAGAGCACCCTACGGGATACCGGGATGGAGCCCGGGTTGGACGGGTGCCAGGCAAGTGCCCTCCCGGCAGGGGATTCTCTGCAGGCTTCCCCCAGAGGCCTCCCCCACTGAGCTAGCATGAGGGGTGCCGGGGGTCCCCCACCAGACCAGGACACTCACTCTCGTCGGGGTTGGGGGAGGCCAGGATGGCGCTGTGTTTCCGCTTCACCTCCTCCACGTTCTCCGAGATGCTGTCGATGAAGCCCCGGATCTCCTCCACCTGCACACCAAGGCAGGGGGTCAGGGGGAGACTCCAAGGCCCCCCAGGCAGGCTGCAGTCAAGGCTCAGGGACTCAGGGACAGGGATGACGGGAGGGGCCCAGCTCCCCTCGGCTTCACTCTCTGCAGCTTCAAAAGGGTTTAGCAGAGACAGGTGGGGCCCATCCAGGCCACCCTGGGGGGGTGTCTGCCAGGGGGGCAGGGAGATGGAGGTTGCTACCACTCTCACCTGCTCGAAGAACTCATCCATGAAACGGTCTCGATCCACAGTGACAGTGACATCGTCGTCATCATCGCTGTCCTTGGCCTGCATGAGGGTGGGGGGCACATGTGAGCAGAACTCCGGCATCCCTGGACCCTGTGCCCTACATCCACCCAGAGCGGGCAGCCACTCCTAGCCACAGAGACGAGCTGGGGACACTGCCAGGTGACAGATACACAGCCCCCTCCAGGCAAGACCCTGGGGCCTTGCCATCAACCCCCATTCCCCTCTGGAATATCCAGGGGAGCAAGCCTTTACTTATCACAGCCTGTGGCTGCGGCCTGAGGTGAGCTTTGCCTCTGCCCTGAGGTGGCCCTGAGCACCCAGACCCCAGGCAGGACACTGGACATGTGGTAATTCCGCCCCAAAGACCCTGAGTCTCACTGACAGTCCCTTTTTTTTTTTTTTTTGCTTTTTGGGTCACACCCAGCGAAGCTCAGGGGTTATTCCTGACTCTGCACTCAGGAATTACTCCTGGCAGTGCTCAGGGGACCATATGGGATGCTGGGCATTGAACCCGGGTTGGCCGTGTGCAAGGCAAACGCCCTACCCGCTGTGCTATCGCTTCAGCCCTTAGTCCCTTATTTTGAGGGGGGAGCAGTGTCCACTTCTGGCTGGTACTTGGCCAGGTTTCAGAGGTGCTGGGGGTACAACCCAGGACCTACTCAGTCCCTTGAGCTCTTTCCCTGGTCCTGGCCTTGCCAGTTTTGTTTTCATGCTTTGTTTTGCTTTGTGTATGACTGTCTCTTCAAGATACCAAAAGGTGCAGGGGTGGAACCCGGGGCTCCCAGGCAAGTGTGCCAGTCCTGCGTGTCAGTCCCCACGGGGACCCGCAGCTGAGCTCAGCGGCCGATCCACATGGCCTTCAGCTTGGGAGCCGGCCTAAGATCTCAGGCTCGGGTCCCGTCCCCCGCCAACCCCCCACCCCAGGAGTAACCCAGAGAAAAGGGGACTGACTTCCCCTGTTTCCAAGACGCCCGCCTGGTTCAGTGCCAGCGCCCTGTAGCCCTGTAGTGGGTGCCGTGGCCAAGGGCTTCGCAGGTAGTGACTCTTGTCCACTGGCCCGGACCTGCTGAAGCCAAAGATGCAGGGAGCGGCAGGGGCTGAGTGCGCAGAGTACCCTCTGCACGCAGGGGCCCAGGTCCCATCCTCAGCACACATAACCAAGCATGCACAGGGCAAAGGTGTCGGGGGCGGAACACCCAGTAGCCCCTGGCCTCCCCCATTCAGTGGGGAAGGGGCGCTGCGTCTGGCCTGGACTGGTTGTTCCCCTTTTTCCCACCCCAAACTCCGGGATGTTTGCTGGGCTGAGAAATTAGGACAGCGAGGCTGGCTGGAGGGAGAAGCCGAGAAAAGGGGGGGAGCACAGCGTGTTCCGGAAGGGCTGTGCGGGGGCTCCTGGGGTCTGACTGCTCCACTGGAGTGGGGGCCGGGAGGAGAGGGGGCTGGTGGGGAGCGCGCGGGAGGGAGGCAGTCGGGAGGGGCCCCCTCTCCTTGAGGGATCACACCTCCTCCCCCAGCAGCTAAAATAAATCCGGCTCCACAAGAGCCTGTGGCAGCTACCAGGTGGCCCCCCTCCCCCGCGGGCCCACCCGGGCCTCAGCGCCTCGAGGAGCCATTTCCGCCTGAGCCACAGAGCTGAGCCCTCCAGGCGGGCACAGCCCCCCACCGGGGTCCAAGACCCCAAGGCCAGGGCCACGGGCAGCCTCAGCCAGACCCTCGACTCATCGTCTCTGCCCACCCGCAGGCTGTGGCCTCCAGGACTGCAGCACACACGGGGCACTCTCTCTGGAGGGCAGAACTGGCGTCTGGGTTTTTTTTCTGCTTTTTGGGTCACACCCAGCGGTGCACAGAGGTTACTCCTGGCTCTGCACTCAGAAGTCACTCCTGGCGGTGCTCAGGGGACCATATGGGATGCTGGGAATCGAACCCAGGTCGGCCACATGCAAGGCAAACGCCCTACCCGCTGTGCTATCGCTCCAGCCTCTGGCGTCTGGGTTTGGACGGAGATCTAGGCTGGGAGCCGCCACTCCAGAGTGTGGCAATTCAAATTTACCCAACAGCCAGTGTGGGGCTCAGGGACTGGCCTCAGTGCCTTGGTCAAACCAACTGCAGCTGGGGGGGGAGGGGGCAGAGAGATAGTACAGTGGGGAGGGCGCTTGCCTTGCATGTGGCTGACCCGGGTTCGAACCCCGGCATCCCATAGGGTTTCCCTGAGCACTGTCAGGAGTGAGTCCTGAGTGCAGAGCCAGGAGGAACCCATGAGCACCGCTGGGTGTGACACCAATAAGAAAAAGGAAAAAAAAAACACAGTTTTTAGAAACCAGGGATATAGTACAGCAGGTAAGTCACTTTCCTTGCTTAAGGCTGACCCTGGCACTGTATATGATCCCTGGAAGTGATCCCTGAGCACAAAGCCAGGAGTAAGTCCTGAGCACTGCTGGATATGGATTCTCCCCCAAAATATAAAGTTTCTAGAACAAATCAGAATGAACGGAGGGGATAAGACCATTAAGGGTGGGTTTTTTTTCCCACATCTATGAACGGGAATCCCAGACTGCAGTGTCCTGGGGTTCCAGGGCCTGGGGGTCCTACTCACAGTGTCCTGGGGTCCCAGGGCTGGCTCCCAGGACTGAGGGCCAGGGTGTGGCATCTCTACCGTCCACTGCACTGACTGTCCCAGCATTGGCCGATCACCTCAGCAGCCCTCAGATGGAGGCAGGGCCCCTGGCTGAGTGTGGGCCCCTTTGGCAGAAGCTCCTGGGTTCTGGGGCCCCTGGAGCCAGAGCGGTCTTCCCGGGTTCAGTGGGGGGGGGGGGGGGGGAAACCCTGTCCACAGGACCGTTTCTGTCCCTCCTCCTTCGTGACTAATCAAAGGCAGGACCAGCAGTCCCGCAGGGCAGGCAGTCAGGGGTGCCCAGGGCCAGACTCTACAGATAAGAACACCTCCCCTTGGTTCTCCCCACTGGTAGCCCTGGACCAGCAGTCCCCAGGGTAGCCAGGCAGGTGGCTCCAGTCTTGGGTGTGAGGATAGCAGCACAAGGGAATGGGGGTAGAGTGGCACCGAGCCTGCTCTTATTTTTCATTTCTTCTCCTTCATTTATTTCCTTTGGGTTTTGTGCCCCACCCAGCAGTGCTCAGGGCTGACTCCTGATTCTGCTCAGGGACCACTCTTGGCGGTGCTCAAGGCTGACTCCTGACTGTGCTCAGGGATGACTCTTAGCGGTGCTCGGAGCTGATTCCTGATTCTGTGCTCAGGGATCACTCTTGGCGATGCTCAGGGATCACTCTTGGCAGTGCTCAAGGCTGACTCCTGACTCTGTGCTCAGGGACCACTCCTGGTGGTGCTCGGGGCTGACTTCTGACTCTGTGCTCAAGGACCACTCCTGGCGGTGCTCAGGGTGTTCTGGGCTTAGCTGAGTGCAAGGCAAGCGCCTTCCCACTGTCCTGTCTCCCTGATCTCATTTCTTTCTTTTTTAGGTTCACATTTGGCAGTGCTTAGGGGTTACCTTGACTCTGCCCTCAGGAATCACCCCTGGTGGTGCTCCAAGGACCATACAGGATGCCAAGGATTGAACCCAGGTAGCCATGTGCAAGGCAAATGCCCTCCCTGCTGGACTACTCCAGATCCTCTGGTCTCATTTCTTTATTTAATTAAATTTATTTATTGGGTTTTGGGTCCACACCCCATGATACTAAGGGCTGATTCCCAGCACTGCACCCAGAGATCACTCCTGGCAGAGCGCAGGGCACCATCTGGGGTGCTGGTGATCAAACCCGGGTCAGCTGTGTGCACAGCTATGGCTCCAGCTGCGTTTCTTTTAGAGAGGAAGTGAGCAGGAGGAAGACCCACAGCTCAGAGCTTCTCATGCCTGAGGACAGATCCAAAGACATTAGTGGCTTTCTTCCATTTTCTTGGGGGCTTGGGGCCACACTGGGCAGTGCTCAGGAGGGGGTCGACTCCAGGGGTGTTTGGGGGCCCTATGCAGTGCTGGAGCCAAGGTAGGGCTGCAGGCCAGGCCAGCGCCACCCCCCTGCACTCTTTCCAACCTGTGACGCCTGAATCACCACTGATGTCAACTGTGGGGTTCAAAACCGCTGGTTGAAGGCATGAACCTGCCTGGGGGGTTCCCCAGTCTCTCCCGGGCAATGAGAAAAAGCCTGGGGCCTGGAGCAATAGTCCAGAGAGGCTCCTGCCTGTGTGCAGCCGACCTGGACTCAGTCCCCGGGGCCACATCTGGTTACCCGAGCCCCAAGCACAGAGCTAGGAGTGCTCACACCCGAGAGTCACACTGGGTGTGGCCAAAAAAAACCCCAAAACTGGTGGGCAAAGGTGGGTGGGCCACCCAGCCAGACCTGCTTCAGACCAGGGGTCAGGAGCACCCCAGCCTAGGGGCTGGGCCCTGCGTGTCCCCCTTTGCCCCCTGCCAGGGCTGGCTGTCCCCACCCCCCACCTCTATGCCCTCTGCCACCTGCTGTAGTTCCCATGGTCCCCAGGGCCCAGCACGTCCATCCCACCCACCCTAGGCCCGGCGAGGGGTGGCCAGCTCCGTGGAAGGAGGGGCACGAGGGGGGTCTGGAGACTGGCATCACTCAGCCTGGAGTCCCGACCAGTGGGGCTTGGGGCCCTGTGGGGAGGTCCCAAGGTGCCTGGCCTGCAGGCAGGGGCAGCCGCTGAGGGGAGCAGGGCTGGAGGCGGCTGCAGGGCTGGGCCGGCCTCAGCTCCGAGGAAACGCGCCAGCTCCTTCCGAGTGTGACTTTTATAAATAAGCTCCCTCGCTTCCCTTCCAAATGTGCTGGTGTCGGGGGGAGGCGGGGGTGGGGGCCCACACCGGCCCTGGCAGCACCTCTCGGGTCCCAGGGCTCTGGGGCGGAAAGCTCGACTCTCGGAGGTCAAGGGCTCCCCCAAACGTGGAGTAGTCAGGAGACCAGTGACACCCCCTCCTGCTTTTGCATGCCGAGAAACTGGGTTATAGATTTTCCCAGCTTCACATCAGAGCAGGGAGAGGAGGACAGGCAGCGCCCCACCGGAACTGGTCACCCACCCCCCAGGGCTCCAAAGGCCCCCACGGGCAGGCTACTGGGTGGCCTGCAGAGAAAGCCTTGCCGTCCATGAGACTGCCATATTCACTCCTGGGGGGTGACCCTCCAAGGGTAAGAACCAGGCAAAGCCCATTTCTCTCTCTGTCTCTGTCTTTCATGTTTAGGGCACACCCCGTGATGCTCAAGGGTTTCTCCTGGCTCTGCTTAGGAACCTCCCGGTGGTACCAAGCGGACCATATGGGATATGGGATGCCAGGATAGAACCCAGGTGGGTGGCACCTCCCTGCTGGGCCATCCCTCAAGCCCCCCCCCCCACATACAGGCCACCGCTGTCATCTCCGCTCTCCACCCAGCAGAGCCCCGTCCCCCAATGACCGGCTTCCCACACAGACACACACCCGCACCCCGGAGCTGAGATCAGATACTCTCTGACTCAACAGGCCCCAGAAACCTGAGGGAAACCACAGGCGGGTGCCTGTTTCGGCCGTGATTGTTCCTTTGAAACCTCCTGGGGTTTAGCTCTGGGCTTGGCCCTCTGCCAGCAAGAGCCGGCAGCTGGGGGGCTGGGGACAGGACGGTGAAGTCCCCGTGGGGGTGCGGGCTGCAATAAGTTGGGGGGGGGCGCTGGAGGAAAGGCGCCAACACAGAGGACGGGCTGCACGAGCAAAAGCTCCAAGGGCACTTGAACTTTCCCCAAGAGGCCACCGGGGTCTCCGGCGTGGGGCAGCAGAGGGGTCCCCGGGAGCCACCAGCTAGAGCCCCCTAAATGCCGGGTCAGCTGCCGCTGGGTCACCAGGGACTCCGATGGAACTCATCCTCCGGGGCTAGACGCGGGCACCCCTCGTCCCCTTCCCTGCAACCCCCGAATCCAGGGACTGGCCATCCCAAAGGGCACAGCCCCCCTGATCACAAGGAGAGGGGGTTCGAGCTGCGGGGCGGGCTGGAGGGGGGAGCCTGCCAGGCCCGGGATGGGGGTGAGCAAGCGCTGACTCGATACCTTTGTGCATCCTCCTGCTCCCCCAAACCCCGCCCAGGAGCCACACCCCAGGGGCCTCGGAGACACAGGTGGAAAAATAGGTCGGACCGGGCGCGGGCGGCGGGGGTGGGTCTGCCCGGGCGGCCCCCGGCGGCCGGAAGCGGGGCGGGGGCGGGTCTGGGCCCTCGGGGGCCCGCCGGGAGCGGGCGGGAGCCACAGGTGACGGCAGCTACAGGTGCTGGAGGGCGCGGGGGCTCCGGGGGCGGCTCCCCGAGCCAGGGCCGGGCCCCACCCAGGCGTCGTGGTTCCGCGGCGCGCCCCGCGGCGGGCTCCGGGCAGGGGCGCCCCCCCGGCCCTTCCCGCCGGGCCCCGCGTCCCGCGTCCCGCTCCCAGGGAAGGGGGGGGGGCGCAGCGCGAGGACGCGGGGAGGGTGGGCGAGGAGGGTCGGAGAGGGGGCACGACCGGACGAACCACCCGACCGGCTCCCCGGATCGGGGCGGCAGAGTCAGGCTCGGGGGGTCCCGCCACCGGCCTCGGCTCGCCCCTCGAGCCCCCTCCCCAAATCCAGGGGGCTCCGAAAAGTTTATCCAGGACCCCCGGCTCCGGCCCGCTCCGGGGCAACAGGGCAACGGGGCGAGGCGCCCGGGCGCCCGCGACCCCGGCAGGGTCCGAGGGGCGGACCCCGGGCACGGGGGTCCCCGCGGGCAATCCCGCCCGCGCCGGGCCGGGGGCCGCCGAGCTGCAGCGCGGGCCGCGCGGGCCGGGCGGGCTGGGCCGGGCCGGGCCGGGCCGGGCCGGGCCGGGGGCGCGGCCAGACTCACCGTGCGGAGCTCCTGGGTTCGGTCCTTCATGCTCCCGGGAGTGGCAGCGGCGCCGGCTGCAGCCGAGAGAGCCCCGCATGCGCGGAGGCCGCCCCGCGGCTGCGCAGCGCCCGCCCGGCCCCGCCCCGGCCCCCGGGACCCCGGCCCGGCCCCCCGCCCGGCCCGCCCCGCCCCGCCCCGCCCCGCCCCGCGCCGGGAGCGGGGACCCCGGCTCCCCGCCCCGCCGGCTGGGGCCTCCTGTTGCGCCTCTGCGCCGGGACCTGAGCCCTACCCGGGGGACTGGGGGCCCGCGGAGCCTCTTCTCCGCCAACCCCCCCCCCCCCGTTAGACACATCCTGTGTTTTTGGACCCCGAGTCTTCAGTCGCAGAGTTTGGGGGGGAGGGAGAATGTAATTTTATTGCCCCTCCTTCCCCGCCCCCACTAATAATAGAGAAATAAACAAACCACCTGCTCCAGCGGGGACCCTTCAGGCCTTCAGGTGTCCAGCCCCCGAGGCCCACCCCTCTCTCTCCCCCCCCCCATCACCCCACCCAGCCCCAGGGTGGCCCCTTCGTGCCCCAGAGCAGACCTCTTTCCCTTTCCTCAGCTTCTGCAGTAGGCAGTACCCTCTCTATCTGACGACTAGATGCAAGTTGTCCCCAAATCCCAGCCCCAGGCCTGGGGTTGGGGGTTCCATCTAGAAGCTGGGGCAGTGGGTCGTGGGATCCAGCTCCCTGCCCTCTGATGGGAGCGCTGGGACTGACCACAGGATGTGCGTGGAGTGGGGCAGTGACAGCTGGTCCCAGAGTCCCTGTGGGCTTCTTGTCCCAAAGGCCTCCACGCCCCACTGCCCTGACCCAGACCCCCTTGGCCTCAGACCAAACATTCCCCACCTTCTTCCTGACTTTGCCAAGGTGCCACTGTGGCCCTGGGCCAGGCCCCCCCCCCCTCGCTGCCCAGTGTGTCCAGGCTGGCGCGGCTCCCAGACAGTGGCACAGGTTAGCTACTTGGCAGGAGGCTGAGACACTGACAGCCGCCGTCACTCCTTTCCTGCAAAATCTGGCCCAAGAGGCGCTCAAAGTCTGGCAGGAGAGACAGTCACACCCCGTCTGTGACTGGCCTCGGCCCTGAGCGCCACACGCCTTCTCCACCCCCATCCCCAAGTACCTTCCAGTTTGGACCTTCACTGAATATTTTCTGGGGAAGTGTTCTGGAGTTCCATTCTGCATTTAAGGTCCTCCAAGCCTCAGAGAACAGACTCACTCTCTCTCTCTCTCTCTCTCCCTCTCTCTCTCTCATAAATGCATTTATACATAAATGCATTTATATAAAAATTTAAAAACAATATTTGGGGACCCCCCTATAATTAGTCAAGCAGAATAAAGGTATACAGTATATGATACCTGATGATACCTGTTTGTTTTTTTTTTTTTTTTTGCTTTTGGGTCTCACCCAGCGATGCACAGGGATTACTCCTGGCTCTGCACTTAGGAATTACTCCTGGTGGTGCTCGGGGGACCATATGGGATGCTGGGAATCAAACCTAGGTTGTACGCGTGCAAGGCAAATGCCCTACCTGCTGTGCTGTCAGTCCAGTCCCGACAGAACCACTCTTTTTGTTTTTTGGGTCAGGGGTTACTCCTGGCTTTGCACTCACTCCTGGCGGTGCTCGGGGGACCATATGGGATGCTGGGAATTGAACCTGGGTCGGCCGTGTGCAAGGCAAATGCCCTGCCTGCTGTGCTATTGCTCCAGCCCCCCAACAGACCCACTCTTAACTCGCCAGGGTCAAGGGTGAGTTTTAGTGACCTTGGAGGTGGGTGTGGAGGGGCAGGCCGCAGCTGGGCAGAGAAGGGTGTGTGGGGAGGGGAGCACCTGGAGAAGCCCAGGCCCTTGCAGTGGGGTGTGCTCAGAGGTGGGGGCCACGGGCTGGAGGGATGGTACTACTGCAGGTAGGGCCTTGCATGCGGCTGACCTGGGCTGGATTCCCGGCGCTACATATGGTCCCCTGAGCACCGCAGGGAGGGATTCCTGTGCAGAGAGCCAGGAGTAACCCCTGAACACAGCCAGGGGTAGCTCAAAAATAAACAAAAGAAATAAAAAGAGAGGTGGGGAGCCTCATGGGGTACTGACAGGGTCAAGCGCTCACTCCTCCATCAGAGTGCCGCGTGGGCATAGACTTCCACTGACGGCCCATCTGGGGACAGACATGCCCAGACCTTGGTGGGTGAAGCTTTGTCCCTCCGCACAAACTCCCCCAGAGCCCAGGAGAGTTGAGGTGAGCCCAGTAGTCCCACTCCACAGGGGAGAAGCTTTGGAGTGGGGTGGGGTACAGGCCTGTTGAGGACTTCCCCTGAAAGGAGATGGTTGGGGAGGGGGTATCGGAGAAGGTGGCATGTGGGTAAATGCCCAAGGGGGTCAAGGAACCCAGAGGGGGACAGAAGACCAGAGACAAAGTGGGCTTTCAGGACTGAACCCCTGAGGGGGCCAGAATCACTGAAGGGTTTCTGAGGGTGGGGGTGTCAAGGCTGGTTATCAGGGCGCAGGGTGGGGAGCAGACCGATGTCATTGTCAGGGTCACTGAGACAAGTGGCGTCGCTGGTGGCGTCGCTGTCAGATACTGGATAACTTTATTTTGCTTGATTAATTATAGTGGGGTCCCGAAATATTGTTTTGGGGACCTGGGGGCAACTCCTTGTGATACTTGGTAGGATAATTCAATCCTGGGGCCCAGCAGTGCTGGGTGTCAGGGGACTGTGTACTGCCTGGGATTGAACCCGGAGCCTTACGCACACAAGGACCCAATTCTGCTGCCAGTCTCCTCCCCAGCCTTGGACACGTTGTACTTATGTTGATGGTGCCAGGGATCAAACAGGGCCTCACACATGCAAGGCGGGTGCTCGACCCCAGTCACCTCCCAGGTCCCGAATTCTTTTTTTTTTTTTTGGCTTTTTTTGGATCATACCCGGCGATGCTCAGGGGTTACTCCTGGCTCTGCACTCAGGAATCACTCCTGGTGGTGTTCGGGGGACTATATGGGATCCTGGGAATTGAACCCGGGTCAGCCGCGTGCAAGACAAACGCCCTCCCTACTGTGCTATCGCTCCAACGCCAACCCTGAATTTATTTTAATGGCCACGTCCATGGAGAGAAGGGGAACCACAACGGCCTGAGCAGAGGGTTTTGATCTGCTCCTTGGGGAAGTTGGGGTTTCCATTTGCTAAGGTGGGGGGCAGGAGACAAAGGAGGACAGGTGGGGCTGGTCAGTCTGGAGTCAGGGCTTGGACATTAACTCTGAGTTGTCCCTGGGGAGGGACAAAAGACCATTGTGTATCTGAGCCTGGAATTCAGGGACCAGGGGAATACTGGTGGTGGCCAGCGTTGAAGGTTCTGGAAACAAGGGGAGCCCCCCCACCAGGGGCCACAGGGAGGACAACAGAGAGGTTGAGCTTGCTCAAGGGACAGGCACGGGCATCCTTCTGGGCAGCAGAGAGGGCAGAGGCATGCAGGAGATTGGTTTTGTGGCTTCAGAAATAGGTCAGCAGGGAAGGTGCTTGTTTTACCAAACTAGGCCTGGTTTGGTCCCACAAGCACCACCAGGAGTGATTCCCTGAGCACTGCCGGGTGTGGCCCCTGTCCCGTCACTAGCCCTCGGATCCTGTAAGGAAGAGGCTTGCTATAAGGCGAACATCACCATCGGCCCGATGGACAGGCTGCAGCAGGCAGGAGCACATAGGTGTGGTCATGCCAGGACAGAGACCAGGGGGCTCCTCAACACCCGGTGGACACAGGAGGATGGTCAGTGAGTCAATGTAGACTCATTGGCTTGGCTTGGCTTGGGTGGGGGGAGGTTGAGACTTTCGGGTTCAACATAAGGAGTGTGTGTATGTGTATGTGTGTGTTTGCGTGTGAATATCTTTGGTTTGTGGGGCCATACTCAGCAGTACTCAGGGTCTGTGCTCAGGGATTAGTTCTGGCAGGGCTCAAGGAAACTTTTAGAGTGCCAGAGATTAAACCTGGGTCAGGGACTGGAGCAATAGCACAGCGAGTAAGGTGTTTGCCTTGCACGCAGCTGACCCAGGTTCGATTCCCAGCATCCCATATGGTCCCCTGAGCACCGCCAGGAGTAATTCCTGAGTGCAGAGCCAGGAGTAACCCCTGTGCATTGCCAGGTGTGACCCAAAAAGCAAAAAAATAAAAAATAAATAAAAAAATAAACCTGGGTCAGCTGAGACTATCTCTCTGCATGCGCGCGCACGTGTGTGTGTGTGTGTGAAGAAACAGGGCGGGGCAGAGAGCACTGGGCAGAAGCACTTGCCTTGCACTTGTCTGACTCTAGTTAATTTCCAGCACCACTTGGTCCCCACTACCACCATCCCCCCCAAAAAGAAAGGAGGAGGCTGGAGTGATATCACAGTGGGTAGGGTGTTTATCTTGCACACGGCTGACCTGGGTTTGATTCCCAGCATCCCATATGGTCTCCCGAGCACCACCAGGAGTAATTTCTGAGTGCAGAGCCAGGCGTAAGCCTCCCCCCAAAAAAAGGGGTGGAAGGAAAAAAAAAAAGGAAGGAACAAGCTTGAAGCTGGAGCGGGAAGCTGCCCATCAGCCTGACAAAGATGGCGCTGAGCAAGGGCACTGGAATGATGTCCGGGCCCTGGGAATCAGGGGCCATCCAAGTGGAGGATGGCCCCTGAATTGACTGGCATGGAGGAGATACGGGCTGTTGGGATGTCCCCAGACGTCACTGCATCCCAAGGCTTGGGCACAGCCCACCTCAGCCCTTCCAGTGCTCTGCGGAGCCCTGAACCCCTTCACCCCAGTAGCATCTCTATGCCCCCTAGATTGGCGCTTTGACCCCCAGTGCTCCAAGGGAAGTCCTGACACCCCGTAAATTGCTTTCTCTATCCTTGGTGGGAGGGCTCTGCCTTCCCTCTGCACTCCAACCCCCTAGTGTCCACTCCTCCCCTCCACACATCACCTCTGCCCAAGACTGAGTTTGGGCCCCTTGTGGGGTGCTGGGCACCCCTATTTATCAGGCTGATGCACTCTGGTCCTGCACTCAGGACAGGTGTTTACCCCTTCTCAGCTGGGCAATGTTCTGGGATTCTCCAAGGCTGGCCCAAGTGTGCCTGGGGGTCTGTCAGAAGCAGCCACAGGCCAGGGACATGGCATTGGCGGGACCTGTGTGGGGTTCCAGCCTGGGCATGATCCTGGCACCACCCAGCGTCGCCCCTGAGCACTGCTGGCGGTGCCCCTCTGTAGATAAACACAGCATTCAGAGTCAGCATCGTTGCTTTGTGTTTTTGTTTTGTTTTGGGGCCACACCCAGTAATATTCAGGGATTACTCCTGGCTTTGTGCTCAGGGATCACATCTGGAGTGCTTGAGGGACCATATGAGATCAAACCCAGGTCAGCCAAGTGCAAAGCAAATACCCTCCCCGCTGTACTATCGCTCCAGCCCTGCGTTCCCTTGAAATGAGGGGTCAGACGAACACTGTGGATGGGAGGCCCAGGGAATGAAAACGCTGGGGTTTCATTCCCAGCATCAGGCTGGCGAGTCGAGGCCATTGCAGCCCTGAGTTGTGGTGCTGCTGCCACCTTCTGGTCGAGGCTGGTATTTCTTTCATGCCTGTATATATGGGTGTGTGTGTGTGTGTGTGTGTGTGTGTGTGTGTGTGTGCGCGCGCGCGCGCACCACAGCACTGTAGCACTGTCCTCCCATTGTTCATTGATTTGCTTGAGCGGGCCCAGTAACGTCTCCATTTTGAGACTTGTTACTGTGTTTGGCATACCGAATACGTCACTGGGAGCTTGCCAGGCTCTGCCGTGCGGGCGAGATACTCTCGGTAGCTTGCCGGGCTCTCCGAGAGGGGCAGAGGAATCGAACCCGGCTCTGCCGGGCCGGCCGTGTGCAAGGCAAATAAATGCCCTACCGCTGTGCTATCACTCCAGCCCTATACACACACATACACACACACACACTCATACACTCACACACAACATATACACAGTCACTCACACACACATACACACACTCCCCAGGGGCTGTGAAAGAAAGGTCCCCACCCATCCTCAGCAACCCTCTGGCTAGTGGGGGGACACCTTGAGAGTGAGGAGCTAAGGTGTGGTGGGGTGGGCCTGGTGGAGATGTGGCTTCTCACTCAGGAGCAGAGGGTCAGTCTGGGGGGTGGAGCAGGAAAGGGCAGTGGGCCATGGGCAGAGAGAGACAGAGAGACTCTGCAAGAGGGAGGGAGAGGAGAAGGACCAAGAGGAAGGGAGAAAGCAAGGGAAAGGGAGCAAGAGGAGAGCGTGCACTTAATGTATGCACCCGTGTGGTGTGTGTTGCGTGCTATATGGGATGTGTGGTGTGCAGTATGTGTGTGTGTGGTCTGTGCGTGGAGGGTATACAGGTGTGTGTATGTGTGTGCGTGGAGGGTATACAGGTGTATGTGTGCTTGGTAGAGGAGTGGCGTGTGGTCTGTCTTTGTGTTCTGTGTGTGGTGCGTGCTGTGTGCAGTGTGTGTATATGTGTGGTGTGTTCGGGAGGTGAAGGTGTGGTATATAGGTGTGTGTATACATGCATGTGGTGTGTGTGGTACATATGTGTGGTGTGTGTTATCTGTACGGTGCCCATGTGGTCTATGTGTGGAGAGGTGCGTGTGGGTTTTGCCTGGGTCTAACAAACTTTTCTGGGAAGTCGGGCCCGAGGCCATTAGCACACCAAGTGGCACCTCAGTGCCTCAGGAGGCCCAGCCGTGACCCTCTTTGGAGGGCTGGGTGCCCTGTTTGCCATCCCAGCAGGGCGACCCCTGCCCGCCGGCTCTCGCCTTCCTTCCTGGTCTCCCTGCCCACGCCCCTCAGGCTCTCAGCCTGGAACCCGGCCCCAGGTGGCACGTGGGGGCAGGGAGGAAGGGTCTGGGAAGGCTGGAGGAAGTCCCTGCGTGCCTGAGGAAGGTCATTTCCTCCTCCCCCGCGGAGAGGCCAGCCAAGCGTCCAGGCAGAGGGACGCGAGGGCTCCCCAGGGGCCGGCTTGTCCTGGAGACAATTCCGTTACTCTCTCTGCTCCGGCAAGCTGGCTCAGATCCTTCCCTCACTCAGAGGTGCAGGGTGGTCCCTGGAGCCCACCTCAAGTTCTCTGACCCCCTCAGGGCACAGCTGCCCTCCCCCAACGGCCTGGGAACAAGCACTTCCGGGACTCATGAATGAGGAGGTGCCTGGGAATACTATTGTGAGTCAGAGTGATTGGTTTCTTCTCTCTCTCTCTTTGGGGGGAGGCCACACCCAGCGATGCTCAGGGGTTACTCCTGGCTCTGTGCTCAGGAATCACTCCTGGTGGTGCTCAGGGGACCATATGGGATGCGGAAGGTTGAACCTGGATTGGCCACATGCAAGGCAAACGCTCTCCTGCTGTGCCCTCCTTCCTTCCTTGTTCCCTCCCTCCCTCCCTTCTTCCCTTTTTGTTGTGATGACTGGTGTCCCCAGTGGCAGCAGGGTTTTTCACATTTGTTTCGGGGCTTGCACACGCCTGGAGGCGGCGCCCAGATCACACACATCACCGCAGCTCTAGGCATCCCAGAGGGTAGCACCACTGGATTGCATGTGGCCTGGCTCCTAGCCACGGTGGGCTCGGAGCAGGGAACCCTGGAGTGTGCAGAGAAGCCAGAACAGCGCCTGGGCTGAGAGCTAGTCGCAGAGGGCCAGTAGCCGAGGGCCCCTGAACTCAATCTGCTGCACTCAGCAGAAGCCTGTGGGACCGGCCGGCAACAAGGCTCTGGACAACGGAGCCCCTGGCACCCGGGGATGGGTGAGAGCTTGCATTGCAGTTGGGGGGGTCTGAGGGCAGCCTTGAAGGAACACAGGGTGGGGACCACCAACTCAGGGAAAGTCCTGTGGTTTCATTAGAGGCACTGGGGGACCTACGGGATGCTGGGGATTGAACCCGGGTTGGTCACGTGCAAGATAAGGGCCCTCCCCGGGGGACCATCACTCAGGTCCTGCGAAGGTTCTCAGCAGGGCAGAGTCCCTTTGGTAATTTTAACGTGGGGGTGTGTCTGGGTGCGCCCATACCACACCAAAGTAGGGGTGGGAAGCCTGGTTACCCAAGTGCCGCCCCCCACTGGGAATCCTAGGGGAATTTGGGGTCACCGCCCTGAGAGGGCGAGTTCACCAGGACTGGGTCATCCTTATTTTGGGGGGAGGGGAGCATACCTGGTGATTCTCAGGGCTCACTCCTGGCAATCCTTGACCATATGGGATGCCGGGAACGGGATGGACGGGGAATGGAGGGGTGTAGTCGGGTGTGTGCAAGGCGAGAGACCTCCCCACGGCCCCACTGTACCATCTCTCCAGCCCAAACCAAAACCTTTTGTTTTCCTTTTTGGTCACACCCGGGGGGTACTGAGGACCCTGGCCTCCCACATGCACCAAGTTCCAGCCCTTGGAGTTCTCCCTGTGACCCCATCAAGGTTAAATTTTCTTTCTGGGTCACCCTTGGTGGTGCTCAGGGCTTGCTCCTGGTTCTACACCCAGGGGTCAGTCCTGGCGGTCCTTGGGGGACCACACAGGATGCCAGGGACGGAACCTGGGTCAGTGGCGTGCAAGGCCCTCCCCGCTGTGCTGCAGCACACCCTTCAGTTTTCTGTTGGACTGTCTTCTTGAAATTTGATTTTTTTAATTGTAGACATGGCACCGTGCTTGACAATACTGTGTAAGGTGGGGTTCACGTATGACCCAGCCCAGGCCCACTCCCCTTCCCAGCGTCCATTTCCCTCCACCACTGCCCCATTGTCCCCCCCACTGGTGAGCTTCCTGCTGAGACCAGTTCTGTTTCCGTTGTCACTGGTCACTGCACTGTTTGGGTCGTCTTGTGTTGATGTCAGTCCAAGTACCCACTCGGGGAAGGGCTGGCTGGTGGGCAGCGGGGAGGGGAACCTGACCCTCCTTCCCCATCCTCCGATGGCAGCAGAGCACCCCCTTCCACCAGGTGAGGGGGGGGCGTGTCGAGGGCTGGGGCGGGGCCTGCTGGGGCACCCAGCCTCCAAGGAGAGCAAAGGGCCAAGTCCTCCAGCCCCACCCCACTGATTAGCCTCCCAGTCAGCCCACTGCCCTGCCCTCCCTCTCCGTCTGGGGCCCCGGAGGGGTAAGTGCGCTCCCCAGCCAGCCGAACCCTCCTCCTGGGATCAGGGGAGAAAGCGTCAGTGCTCACGGGTCAGACGCCAGCCACCCCCTCACATGGCACCGTGCAGACTGGGCCGCCGGGGACACAGGCTGAACTCCTCGGACGTCTGGCTCTAGCATCAAGCCCCAGGGCGAGGTGAAGGGCCCAGGGCAGGCTACCCAGCTGGACGAGCTCACCCCGGCTCCCATCGCTTTTCCCGGCCAGAGCCCAGAGCGGAGGGTGGCTGGAGCACTGGGGGACCCTGGGACTGAGCCCTCGCTGGACCAAGCCCTGCGGGAACGCGATGAGGCCATTGCCAAGTGAGAGGCAACACCCTGCAGGGGTGGGGTGGGGGGCCTAGGGCTCCCTCAGGGCTGGGGGGGGGCGGGAGGAGGAAGGGGAAGAGGAGGTGGTGGGAGGGGAGGGGTGGGGGAAGCGGGAGGCTCCCGGAAGGACAGCACCGCCACCTCGAAGTGCCCTTCCCTTCCCGGTAGGAAGCGGGCCGTGGAGGCAGAGCTGGACCGCTGCAGGGCCCGGCTGCAAGCTGTGGAGGCCCAGTTGCTGGAAGTCCTGGAGGAGAAACTGAGGCTGCAGCAGGAGGTGGAGGCCTGGGAGGTAGAGTGGGCATGCTGCCGGGGGCTGGGGGGGGCGGGCACGGAGCCGCCCCTGAACCTGCTCTCCTGCCCGCAGGAAGACATGCAACAGCTGGTGCAGCGGCAGGTGGAGACTCAGCTGCGGCACGAGCGCGAGGCCCGGGGAGCTGCGGGGACCCCCGGAGACTCCAGAGTGGCCAGGGCCCCCCGGGGCCACTTCCCCCTGGGCCGGTGGGGGCACTGGCGCTGAGAGACCCTGGGCCGGGCGGTACCTTACTCATTAAAGGGAAGGATCTGAGCATCTCTGTATCTTCATGTCCTCCGCGGTGCCCGCCTGGGCCTGTGTGCAGGGCTGGAGCAGGCCCCAGGACAGCTCTCAGGCCAGAAAGCCGCGGACAGCAGCCATGAAGTCCTGCGGACAGTCAGCATGGACCCAGTGGCCAGCATTGGGCACCGTCTGCATCTGGGCACGAGGAAAGAGCTGCCGGATCTTGGGGTGGTGGCTGGGGCTGGTGGGCAGTGCCGAGAAGGGTGCGAGGCAGGGGAGGAGAAAGAACAACATGGCGGGGGAGATGGGAGTCAGGTGACGGCCCCTGCTCAGGGATGCTTCTCAGGCACACACCCCCACCCCCCGCCGGTCTCCCTACAGGGCTGAGAATTACCACACGAACTTGGAGTTCCCACCGAGGAGGAAGAGGGTGGGCCCCGGGTAGGCGTCTTGGTGGGCAGGAAAGGTCATGATCTGGTTCATGTGCTGTGTCAGGGCGTCCAGGTTGACCCGCCACACGTGGTGCCCGTCCACCTCCACCAGGTTGGTGAGTATGTACTGCCGCATGCCTATATCCTGGGGTGGCAGTTGGGGGTCCCCTGTGAGGCCACCCTTCCCTTGAAGGGTCCCAGTGGGCCACAGCCCCCGAGGACGGGGGTCACCGTACCTGGATGACGGGACTGAGCTGCTCATCGGCCAGCTTGCGGGCAGAGGAGCGGGGCAACCCATCCGGGATGCGGATGGCCTTCATGGCTGCCATGAAGGCCGGGAAGTCTGACACAGCCGTGGTCTCTCCAGGGCTGATGTCCACGGAGATCAGACGGTCCACCAGCTCGGGCTGTGGGGGGCAGGGGGCCGTGGACACCAGCTGTGGGAGTCAGGCAGAATTCCCTGGTGCTCTGGGGTGACCGCGCGGGAGCTCACCCTCTGGAGGGCCAGCAGCATCGCGGTCTTGCCTCCCATGCTGTGGCCAATGAGGACGCAGGGCACCAGGCCCAGCTTGGGCAGGAGCTCCTGAAGGTCCTGGCTCATGGCTTCGTAGCTGTTGTCTGGGTTGTGGGGGCTGTCGCCGTGGTTCCGGGCATCCACCAAGAGAACCTGGGCAGTGGGGCGAGACTGGGTCGGTAGGGTGAGGGGCCAGAGCCTGGAGAGAAATCCTGAAGTGGAAGGAGGGATGGGGGAAGGTACAGGGCCCAGGGTCAGTGTGCCCAAGAAGAGATGGCCCGGCACCTGTGAGTACATCTCTTTCCTGCTGTTTGCGCCACATCTGGCGGTGCTCAGGGCTTACTCCTGGCTCTGTGCTCAGGGATCACGCTTGGTGCGGCTTAGGGGCTACATGGGATGCCGGGGATAGAACCCAGGTCAGCTGCATGCAAGGCAAAAGCCCTCCCAGCTGTACTGCTCTGGCCCCTGTGGTCACATCTTTAAAGGTCTGGCTTGGCCGGGCGGCAAGCCTTAGGGAGGCCAGGAAGCGGAGCCTCGTCTCCCAGTTGGCGCTCAGAAGCAGCCCAGAGAGACCCCAGTCTTTGGGGGAGGCAGGGCAGTTGGTGGGGAGGGTGCGGCCACTGGGCAGCCCGCAGATGCCGGTCCACGCGTGGCTGCGGTCCATCCAGGTCCTGGGTCAGCTATGAAGTCGGCCCCAGACCAGCTTCTTTCATTCCGGCTCCGGCCACCCTCCAGCCCCCTCGTGGCCCGCGTGGAGGTCAGAGGGGGCCCCGCCCCCCGGAAGCTCACTCTGCGGCCGGTCTGCCGGGCCAAGCCCTTGGCGATGGAGTTGAAGTTGGTTTTGCAGCCGAAGAGCCCGTGCAGGAAGACGAGGGCCGGGAGGGTCGGCTCCCCGTCCAGAAGGTTGTAGGCAAGCGGCACTGGCCTGCGGGAAGGCGCAGGGACGGGGGAGGGTGTCAGCGGCGGGGGCCGGGCTGGGGGAGGGGCCCGAGCCCAGGGGAGGAGGGACCGGCCCGGGGGGAGGGGCGACGCGGCGCCCACGAGTTGCCCTTGACTAACCTCGGCGTGGCGCCGCCGCGGCCGCTGCTGCTGAGTGCGACGGGCTCTCGAGGAAAGCCGAGGCTGGAGGGGCCAACCCCGCTACGGGGGAGCCGCCAGGTGCGGGCCCAGCGGAGCATGCTCGGGAGTCGCTGCCTCACGCGTCCTCGAACGGTCCCTTTGCCCCGCCTCCCGCCCGCGCCTCTGACCCCGCCTCCCGCCTTCGCTTATGGCCCCGCTTCCCGACCGCGCCTCTCACCTTTGCTTACGGCCCCGCCTCCCACATTTACTTAGAGCCCCGCCTCCCGCCCCGAGCCCCGCCTCCCGCTCGCGCCTCTGACCCCGCCTCCCGCCTTCGCTTATGGCCCCGCTTCCCGACCGCGCCTCTCACCTTTGCTTATGGCCCCGCCTCCCACATTTGCTTAGAGCCCCGCCTCCCGCCCCGAGCCCCGCCTCCCGCTCGCGCCTCTGGCCCTGCCTCCAGCCTTCGCTTATGGCCCCGCCTCCCGCCTTCGCTTATAGCCCCGCCTCCTACCCCGCCTCCCGCTCGCGCCTCTGGCCTCGCCTCCAGCCCGCGCCTCGAGCCCCGCCTTCCGCCCGTGCCTCTGGCCCCGCCCCCTGCCCGTGCCTCTAGTTCCGCCTCCATTGATGGCCCCGCCTCCAGTTTTCACTTTTGACCCCGCCTTCGCCTCTAGCCACGCCCCCGCCCCGTCTCCGCCTCCACCCCCGTCCCGGTCCCTCTCGTGTCATTGCCGGCTTGAGCTCCGGTTTCCTTACTTCATCCGGGAGACCAGCTTGTCCCGCCCCTCGCCATTACGTAATCCCTTCGGGTGGGGCGGGGCTAGGCGCCTCCGGGCCACGCCCCTCACGAAGCCCTGCCCAGCTCCTTCCGGCGCAGACGCCTGCGTAGCCGGAACGGGTTCCGCAGCTTGCGAGTGTCTGGGGCTTGGGCCACGGGCGGCGGGTGTCCTGTTCCTCAGCTCCTCTCGCATCGCCTCGGGTGGCCAGCACGGCGCGGGAAGAGCCAGGAGTGGCCCCGGGTCGTCGGGGCGCCGCCTCGGAGGCGCCGTGCCCCGCAGCTGAGCACCGCTTTATCTGCACGTCGTCCACGCTCGAAAGGGACGGTAGAAGTCGTGGTCACCGGAATCCAGACTCCTTCACAGATGATTTATTCAGCCCCCACGTCAGTTTAAAGAAGCACTAATCCTCCCGCCCCACTGGACTCAGCCCGTCCTTCTCTCAGCTGCCACCCTCTTGTCCCAGGCCCAGGTTGTAGGGCGCACAGGAACTCCAGTGTCACCCAGATGGAGCTTGGACACGGGGACGGTGCTGGAGACTGAATGGGCCCACACACGGTGCCCCGAGCTGTGCCTGGGTGCAGAACCTCAGGTCCTCTCCTCACCTCACTCAGACTCTGCCTGCTACTGCCTAGCACTCCCTGAGCTCCAGTCCTGATGGCCCTTGAGGCCTATCTCCCCAATCCAACTCAGATTTCTGCAATTGAAATTAATCTCTTCTGCTCTGTGTTCTCAGAACACTTGCTAGAGTTCATCATGTTAGAACTGGCTTCTCTGGCCGCCATCTGCACTCAGGAATTAACTCCAGAATTACTCCTGGCAGAGCCTCAAGGGGCCATATGGGATGCCAGGGATTGAACCTGGATCAGCCGCGTGCAAGGCAAACATGTGCTTTGCTCTGGCACACAGCCACATTCTTAGTGCAAAGTGCAATGGTAATTTTACTGAGTGACCAAAGGTTCGGGGCACCAACCAAGGCTGAGGTGAAGGTTCAGCTGGCGGCTGGGTCAATGCCCTCTCTTGGCCTTGCACCTGCATTGGCCTTTCCTGGGGGCATAGTTGGGGGAAACTGACCAAGGTCTAATAAATGCCTGACCCATCTCTCTGGAGCCCAGGAGGGCTTGTGGAGGGATCGTTTTTCTTTTGGAGCCGCATCTGGCAGTGCTCTGGGATTACTTCTGGCTCTGGGCTCAAGGGATCACTCCAGTAGGGCTCGGAGTATGGCGCGGGGTACCATATGGGGTGCTGGGATAGAGCCTGGGGTATGCAAGGCAAATACCTTAACAGCTGTACTATGGCTCTGGCGCCCCAGGGCTTTTTCTGGGTCACTGGGACTTCAGAAAACTGCAGAGGGGATGATCCTGTGTTGTGGCATAGTCACAAAGGAATTTTGAGGACATCTGTGCTGGGCAGAGCCCCAAAGGGCAGGCTCTTGGAGGAGCTGATCAAGGCATGTGTTTCTAGGGGATCAGTAAGGGGCAGGAGGTGAGGCTGGTGACATAGAAGGGGAGTATTTCTGTATTGTTTTTGTAGAAGGGGCCACACCTGGCGATGCTCAGGGGCTAATTACTCCTGGGTCTGCACTCAGAAATCACTATGGAGGTGTTCAGGAGACTATATGGGATGCCAGGGATGGAATTCTGGTTGGCCGCATGCAAGGCAAATGCTCTCTCCCTACTGTACTGTTACCCAAGCTCCTATAGAATGGAGCATTTCAATCGTGATTTCAGGGTTGGAGAAAGAGTACAGTGGGTTGGGCGCTTGCCTTGCACACAGGTGACCCATGTTTGATCCCTGGCACCCTGAACCAGGAGTGGTCCTTGAGTGTGGAGTTGGCAATAAGCCCTGAGCACCACCGGTGTCCTCGGAAACCAGATATAATTAAAACATGGTTTCAAGCAGCCTCCAACCCCCACCCCACGCCAGTGGGCCGGCTTGTTGGCGTCCCCTGAGACAGGGGACCTAGGGACCTAGGGGCCAGATAGCCTAAGGGTTTCCTGAGTGCTGGACCCCAGCGCAGGGCGCTCCGAACCGACCCCCCCCCCCCCCCCCCCCCCCGCGCCCGTGCGTGCTTGCTCCTGGCTGCAAATGTGGGTGTTAGGGGAGGGAATCCCCCCAGGGCGGTCCAGGCCTCCCCCAGCTGGTGAACACAGGGGTCAGCTGACTTGCTGTGGATGGGTGAGGGTCTCTCTCGGTCGGAGGTGGGGGGGTGCCTGGAGTCCCAGAGAGGCTGAGCTGGCCGCGGGCAGGGTGGGAAGCGGCTGTTTGGGCTCTGACCTCCCTGCGAAGACAAGCTGGTGTCTGTCGCCCACCCCGGGCGCTGAGACCCAGGCGGGCAGGGCGGAAGGTGACGCAGCTGCTGGACCGCGCGGCTGGGGCGGGCGCAGGGCCCCGGGGATGTCGTCACGGCCGGCCGGGGGCCCAGCGGCGGCGCAGGGGTTAAGGCGGGGAGGCGGCGGCGGGTGTCCTGTAACCGCACCTGGCCCAGTATCGGTCACGTGGCCGGGGTTTCACCTGCCCCGCTGAGCAGGGACAATCGGGCCTGTGTTCCCCGGCTGGTCGCCTTGGAGACCGGAGCGCGCCGGGGGAGGTCAGCGGGGCAAATTCCTGCGGGCCTGCGGGTGGGGCCGGGTCGCGGCGGCGGCGCCGCTCGGAGAACCCCCGAGTGTCCCGCGGGGTGTCCCCGGCCTCCCCCCGCGCCCGCCCCCGGCTCGGCCCTCCGGGATCATCGGGTGGCGCAGTGCGCGCGCAGCTGCCCCTTCTTGCCTGTACTTTGTTTTCTATAATCCGCCCTAGCCCGTCCCTCCGGACCCGGTAATCCCCTGGGCCTCCCCCAGACCCACGAGCCTTGGCTCCTTCCTTCCTGCCGCCGCCAACCAGCCCTCTCCCGCTTTCGTCAGAGCGGCTGAGGGTGGCCCCTGGGCGGTGTGGGTGCACCTGATCCCCCGGGGCTCTGTGTCAGGAGCCGCCCAGACCCCCCCCACCTCCCCTCCAAGCATCCTCCAGACCCCCCCCCCCCACCTGCCTCCCCTCCAAGCATCCTCCAGGCTGAGCCCGTTTCTCCCGCGCTTCCCCTCTCCAGAACCTACCAGACTCTGCACCCCGCCCCCCAATCATTGCACTGCCCCATCCCCCCTACATTCTCATCACTAACACAGATTCTGCAGGTTTTTTTGTTTGTTTCAGGTGCCAGGGGATCAAAGCCAGGTTCTCACACACGGGGTGTTCCCCCCGCCCCCCTGCTGCTAGTGACAGCTGGGACCCTTCCCATGCTCATTCTCCACGTGGGCCAGGGAAGGCCCCTTCCGTTTTGGGGGGATGCAGGAGGTAGAAAGAATGTGCATTTGCTTTGCATTTTGGGTCCTGGACCGTACCCCGCGGTGCTCAGAGATTACTCCTGGCTCTGTGCTTGGCGATTACCCTGGCAGTTTTTCGGGGCACCCTTTGCAGTGCTGGTCATGCAATCCGGGTTGGTTGAGTGCAAAGTCATATCAGTGCCTTACCCACTTTGCTATTGCTTTAGCCTGCAGGAGTGGGGGTGGGGGCAGGGGGGTGGTGGAGGGACCTGATTTGAAACCCGGGGCCATCTCTGCTCCTCTCGAGACCAGTCGCCAGAGATGCTCCAGCCTGCACTCGTGTTTGGAAACATTCTTCCTGTGCATCCATCGCATGGTTCACACTGGGCTGAGCTCACAGACCCGCAGCTCTGGGCACAGGACCACACTGGCCGGTGGATGCGTTATCACCCACCCTGGAAAGCGAGGGCAGGAGTGGGGAACTGCACTGCTGCTGTGGGTGCGAGGGAGGAGCTGGTCAGGTGCAGGGGTGCCCTTGGGTGTGGGTGCTGCAGACCGGGGGGGGGATGCCAAGTGAGGGGGCTCCTTCCTGCCCCCTCCACCCTAGGTTGGGGTCTGTTGGGGGTGACTCTTCCTAAAGGCACACGCGCGCCCCCACCCCTCGGCATCTCAGCACTCCTTTCTTCCCTGCCTCGTTGCCGTGGGGCCTGCTGCTCCTCACCCGACGTGGAAATCGGCGTCCATCTTTTCCAAACGCTCCGTGAATTTAGCTGCTGATCCAGTTGCTTCTTTCCCCCCCACTTTCTCCGATTGATCGTTCTGCACTCCTGGCCGCGGCCGCGGGAGGAGAAAAGCTGCCTTGTGTGTTTTCCAAGAAGCGAAGCCCTTGGGGAAGGAATGTCTGTGTGGTGCAGGTGTTGCTGCCAGGGATGGGGGCGGGGCTGTCCCTGCTTCCTGGCACGGTTTACACAGACTCCTCGCTCGCTCGGCAGGCAGGGCCATGGGCAGTGGGCAAAACTGTCGCTGGTGCCAAGACACGGGGCCACCGAGGCAGAATGACAGCAGCTCACTGTGGTCCCAGTGGCCCCGAGACTGGATGCCATGGCCTCTCCCTCCTTGCAGCCTTCTCCCGGCCCCCC